AGACACACACACACGCGCACACACACACACACACACGCACACACACACACACACACACACACACACACACACACGCGCGCGCGCACAATCACATGCACACGCATATACACAACAAAAGAAAAAGAGAAAAAAGAGTAGATCAACATTGTGATGAAACAAATCACAAGACAAATATTTCCCTGACGCATTATCGCTTTAACCATCTCTCTCTCTCTCTCTCTCTCTCTCTCTCTCTCTCTCGCTCTCACTCAGACACACACTCAAACACACACACGCACACACACACACACACAAATACACATTATAGTTCAGTGTGTTTTCAAACCAACTTTCCTCTCAACAATTACTTTGTAATTTAAGAGCTAACCAGATACGAAAACTACGTACATCCTTGTGTATGTTTTTCAAGAGCTAAAGGCAACATAGAGTCTCAGTCCCACACACACACACACACACACACACACACACACACACACACACACACACACAAACACACAGACACACTTACTCACAGAACCATTACATACCTCATTCATCTATTTTCCATGGCTCTGAGTGTACCTTCCTGTCGAAGGCGCAGCAGCCTCAGGGAAGAACAATGTCCCATTAAATTAGGAGGGTCAGGAAGTCAACACACTAAGGTGAATGCCTGAACTTCCCTCTAAACTCTTTCCATGTACTGCGGACACACACAAACATGCACGCAGCACAGAATTCCCTCCAGCACACCGACATCAGCTGAATATTTCCAACGCAAACACATTAGCTTGTGACGGGTGAGGGTTTCCCAGGCATTCACAGTTAGCTGTTTGTCCGGGCTCTGCAGAGATAAGTGAGCAGTCTAGACAGACGTCATTATTAAAGTTACAAGTTACAAAAGCATTCTAAAAATCTCAGTGTTCTTTACCTCTTGTTAAATGATACGGTGAAAACAAGCAATTACACATATCACTGATAAAAATATCATCATTCTAGCACTGAACGCTGTTGCTGCACCGTCCTCTTAGCGCCTTGTCCTGCCTCCCGTTTAATTTGATATGTTTTATGTTCTGGTTTCCAATGTGTCCATCTTTCTAACTTGCCTATCTTAGAAACATCTCATTCCAATGTAAGACCAAGATGGATCACCTTCTGTTCAATTTGGAAATATGGCAAGTTGTTTGTTTTGGAAATTTGATCAACGACAATGTGTTTTGAAATTCGCACCAATGGAGCGATGCTTGCGAACTAGTTCAGGCACCATAACTCGAGCTGCACTGACTTGACACAGACGTGCATCGTTGTCCACAACTACCTGACAAACATGTCATCTCAAATGGGAGGTCTTTTTTTTTCAAACTGCAATATTTCCAGCCTCTTCCCGTTGCTCTGTCTTGCACATGTACTGCGCTCTTACTTCCAACCCCACCGGCACCTCACCAGCATCAACCTGTGTGCTCCGACTCAGGCGGTTTAAGATATTATCTCATCACTCCAATAATTTCTGCATTTTTAAATAAATCTTGGGAGTGATGAGGTCGGAGCCTAGATGCCAAGCACAAACAGTGTTCTGCTACTGCAATAAACTATTTAAATCATTTAAAACGGGAACTTTTTTTGACTGGGTTAACAAAACATTTCCACAAGTAACGTGAAGAATTTGCCCTGTGTTCTTTTTTATTTATTTAAAGATTTATTTTGAGGCTTTTTGGGCTTTTATTTGAGAGATAGGACGGTGGATAGAGTCAGAAATGGGTGAGAGAGAGAGTGGGGAATGAATTGCAGGAAAGGAGCCACAGGTCGGATTTGAACCTGGACCGCTTGAAGGTTATTTTTATTTCCCAGGTTCTTCCCAGTGTATATTTGAGTTTTAGAGGTATGGTGTTGGACTTCAATTGATTTTGGACAGATCCAAGCTACCCCCACCCCTCACCCTCAGCCCCTCTGACGGTCTTGAAGCATTCCTCTTACATGTAAGTCATTCTTGTCACCTGAAGAAAAAAAATTACCGTTATGATTCAAACTAAATGACAACTATAGCTTTCAAAAATAAGCAGGACACTCCTCTGTCCCTCGAAAGAAATGATATATCCTGTAAGAAAAAGCGTGCAAACGTTCAAGTCGTTAACAAGGACTCCTGTGACAAACACTTTGTCCGTATCAAACTTGGACCACACAGTGCTTAAGCGATTTTCAACACCCACTGCATTGTCCTTGAGATCGAAACAAGATGTAATACATTTGAGCTGTGCAGGTATTTTCCAGCAGCCCCGCCTTGTCCATACAGCTGTTCAGGAAAGCCCAAATCCTTCATCCAAGGTCAAGTTTACCCAAGATACTGCAGTACAATACCGTCATAAAACCTCCATCACACTGCTGCAGAACACAATAGAAAGGAGACCCCACCCCCCCAACCCCTCTACCGCCCCTCCACGCTCATACCTCCACCTTCCAACACTTTGATGCTATCATCTTCCTGCTGAGCAGATGGTTTTTCCAAGACTCTGAAGCATCATTCCACTTGTGTTGTTACTCGATTCAGACAACAGTGGAGGAAAAAAAAACGTCTCCCATTTCCACGCTTTACCCCCCTCCCCCCTCCCCTTTGCCCCTTTGTTCTGGCTCGGCTGTGTTCCTGTTTTGACCATGAAACATAAAAGCTGTGTAGAGGGAGAGGAAAAGACAATACGTACAACAAGTTTTTGGCCCTCGTGCAGACACTGGGGAGCCCGATTGGACAAGGATTTGCCGTGATGGAAAGAGGAAGAAACCCCCCCCCCTCCCCCTTTCTTCCATCCCATCATTAGCAAGCCGGAGCATTGCATTACAGAGGTGAAGGGGGCACATGAGGGAAAAGGAAAAGAAAAGGCTCCCTCATCAGGATATACAAGTTGGAAACGATGAGTGAAAAGGTTGATATGAGGGCTGACAAATCGTAGGAGAAGAAGCTTTCGGTGTTGCTGTGCAGGAATGTTGTGACAGGGTGGGCCGGGATCAGGGGCGAGTCCGCTCTGTGGATGGTGTTCTGTACTGAAGGTGTGAAACTGTGCTGAGCTGAACAATTATGTAAGAAAAGTAAACACCCAAATCCAAACCTGTGGGCCCTGGAGGCTTCAAAGCTCATAACTATGAGAATGATAAAATGGCTATTCTTAGATCCTTGCATCTAGTGAGGCTAATTTTCCCTGAGGGGTGGTTAGAATTGTAAATGGTTCACCCCATTGAAAAACTGCAGTTAATTATTGTGCAGTAAAATGGAACTGAAGCTGTTTTTACTCCTGAAAACTTTTCTGAAGTTTTGTGCATGTGCGAAAGCACCAATACTGAGGGTTGTGCTACCAATAGGGCCACTGCTCATGATGTCTTGATTAGGACTTTAAAGACAAAGTCAGGGCTTGGACTAGACCTCCTACTTGGTGTGCTTCACTCAGCTCATGCCTTTGAACTTTCCTCATGGCCTTTTTTGAGCATCACTTGGTATTTATGTGACTTTAACAGTGACTTTGACTTTGTTTGTCCAGGTGTACGCACCTGTAGTGCAGGCGAAGGTAAACATACACGTTGTTTTTTTATCTATTACTACAAGAGAACTGAAGTAGATCAGGGTCTCACAGTCGTGTCATGTCTCTCCTGTTGTCTCTGCATGAAGCTGATTCATTGTTCAGAATCAGAGCGTGTGTAAACTCGCAGGGAAAAACACAATAAAATCCCGTAACTTTGACTCACCCTGATCCTGATTGGAACACCTTTAAGCTCTCTCCTCACCTGTGTGTGTGTGTGTGTGTTTTGAGGAGAATGATATGCACAGTTTCTCGCTCAGAATGTGGTTGCACTGTGTAACTCTTCAGCACTTTGCTCAGAGCTCTATCAAAGCCCCTCCCCGTCTTTTTCCATGTCCACGTTTTCCATTCCTCTGCACATATTTTCTCTCTGTCATTTCTCTGTCTTTGGTATGACATACATGAGTTACACCTGGAGTCTTGTTACAGATTACTCTTAGTCTCTTCTCTGCCAAAAGTAATCAGCACACATATCTGTTTAGGCTGGCCTCTAATGCCTGGCGAGTCATGTTCATCACCTTGTTTTGCCTGTGTGTGCCTGTGCAGACTGGATGAGGAAGGAAAATTGTACAAATAGACGCACGTGCATTTCATAATAGTCGGCATTCCATTCTTCTGCCAATCATACTATCCCAAATATCCATCTGGTGCCAACTTTAAACCATCAAGTAACCAATCCCTTATTCTAACCCTGTCAACACTCTGCCTATGTTACAGAGCTACTCGCATCACTTTGCTTACACTTCATCAAAACAAATGAACCAGTTGTATTGAGCTATGTCTTGTGTACACAAGTCAAATGTACAAACTCACACACACTGCAAGATAATTGGCTTGATCGTCCAATTTTTCACAATCTTCAGAAAAGTCCAGATTTTTTTAGATTATCTCGCCAGATTTTTCTGTGGTGAAATCGTAAATATTAAACATATTCAACAGTAAACGCTACACTTTCAAATTTAATCCAAACATTTCAAAGTCTTCACTTACAGTATTAGGAGACTTTTCAAAAGTAAGGTTGTCAAAATGTTCCATACATTTGGATGTTTTAGAATGAGAAAATGTCCTTTATTTTAAAGGCCACATATTATACATAATACACTTTACCATGTTTTTCTAACACTAATAATGCGTCTCTAGTCTCTCTACAAACCCAACAGTTACGAGAAAAGTCCATCCATCTTTTTTTTCCTGCTCCATTTTTCAGAAAATGTGTGCTCAAACAGGCCGTTTGGAAAAAAATAATTTGTGACATCACAAAGGGCAGCAACCCCTCCCCCAGGTGGGTGACACTCCCACAGATAGGTGTTTGTTCAGAGCTCTGAGTCTGCCTTCTTACCATAACTATTGGGCACAGATCGGTCTTGGTCTCATTGGACAGTTATAATATTTGTCCAACCTGATTTTCAGCCAGGTTAACATGAACTTGCACTGACAGTCTTTGTGTTCTTCTCTTTACAGGATGAAGTGAAGGTTCCCTCCAAACTCAACGTGTCCAAATCAATGAAGGTTTCTGAATCGGTGTCTGGGAGCAGGGGAGGCAGCCTGCTAGAGCTCAAGGAAGCTGACGAGGAGCTGGCAGAGGAGGGAGGAGAAAAGGAAGACAAACCCCACATAGACCTCTCGTCTGATGAGGAGGGAGAGGTGGCCGAGGAGGTCATTTTAGAGACCCGTGCCGAACGCATCAAACGCAGCAGCCTGCAGCGCGTGCAGACCCTGAAGACGGTTTTCTCAAAGGAGAAGATGGATAAGACCAAAGCCAAGACCAAACAGAACCTGGAGAAGACCAAACAAAAAGCCAAGGACAACCTGGAGCAGACGAAGCAGAAGACAAAAGATAATCTGGAGAAGACCAGGCAGAAAACCAAGGAGAATATAGAGAAGACCAGGCAGAAGACCAAGCAGAACCTGGAGAAGACTCGTCACAACATCGAGAAGAAAATGGGCAAGCTCGGAAACCGCATCAGCGTCAACCAAGAGCGCAAGCAGAAGATGCAGACATCCCGTGACAAGGTGAAGAAGGCCTTTACGCCTGACCATGTGGTTTACGCCCGGTCCGAGATGGCCGTGTACAAGGTGCCCCCCTTCACCTTCCACGTCAAGAAAATCCGGGAAGGCGAGGTTGAGGTCGTCCAACAAGGCACCGAGATGGTGGAAGTGTGCCCAGAGGAGCACTTCAGCGGGGTGGATGAGGAGGTCGAGGAGGCGGGAGAGGAGGTGGAGATGGAGATGATGAACGGAGGAGGGGACGAGGAAGAGGCTGAGGAGGATGAAGAGGAGGACCAAGAAGTCCTGCATGAGCATGAAGACAGAGATAGAGACAGCGACTAGATGTAACAAAGAAGAGATTTGCCAACATCCCTGAAATAATCCTTTGCACCAACCCTGAAGTTCTTTTTAAAAGAACCGTTTGATCTTTCAGATTTTGGCCGCCATTCCTTTAAATAATGATGACTTGTGTTTTGAAATTACGTTTTTGCTGAGATCTGAGAACATGGCTCTTGCCTTATTCGACAGGTTATTCTCACGTCCAGACTAGCCAAAGGAAGTGCCAAAGAACCCTTTTGGTCAGGAAAGCTTCAGGACAGATGTGTGCCAATTAAAATATGCTGTTAAGGAATGTTACACGATTAAAGGACCTCATGTTGGATCATGCTTTAAAGGGATAGTTCTGTATTTTTGAAGTGACTTTGGATGATGTACGTGCCAATAGTCAATATATCAGCCTCAGGAGTTGCTGGTCAGCGTGGCAGCCCCTTTAAAGAGAGACTGGCCGGAGTGCCTGCACACAAGCTAGGCTAAATGGCTTTAAAGACGGGGGCTGTTTGCACGGCATAATTTTGCTAATGTTAAAGAAAAAACAAGCTATAAAACTAAGTTGGGGTAAATGTGGTCTAGCTTGAGAAAATTCCTGGTGATTTAATTTTCCGTCAGCAAGCCACTTCACTTTAACATTACTTTGCCACACTGTTCCTCCGCCTGCTCAAAAAATACCAAACTACCCCTTTAAGACCAATTCATGAAAACAATTTATGATCATCTAAAAACAGACAAAGAGGTCAAGCTGAGACTGGCCTAAAGCCTCCTTGCCTACAGCCACATTACAGCCACCTTTCAATCAAAATAACCCCCTTATTAATAACATTTCTGCACAACTCTTTACCCTATAATAAAGCAGATTAAAAATGTCACCCAATAAAGAAATGGGTGACTGAACGTGTTCTTCAAACCAGGCTATAAACATTTTGATTTCTGCTGTACAAATGGATATTTAAACATAATGGGGATTGGTTTGCTTTTGCAGCCAGCTCAAGTGGACGCTCGAGGAACTGCAGTTTTTGCACTTCATTGGCTTTCTTTCTCAACAATGGAGGTTCCTGTTAAGGACAAATACAAGACTCCTAATGCATGCTAAGACACCTTAGGTTTCGATACCCTAACAGACATCTGTTTCCTAACACATTTGACATATCAATATTTTTTTTAAGTCAATAATGTGCCATTGTTTCTTTAACAGCTTCTAATGCTGCACTCAAAATTGCAATATTAAGATTAGATGAACTGTGCACGTTGCAAAGAGAGCAGGGGTCAGCAGCTGACTCCGAACATTTGCATTCTCAGATCTCAGCAAGTTACCTTGGTCAACACAGTATTGTTTATTTTTTAAAGGAGCGATGGCCAAAAATACAAAGAGATTTAAGATGAATAAAAAGGTTATCACTTAGCATCTTAAGGTTGGGCTATTTTATTTTTTTTCCGAAAGGCTGAATAAAATTCTTCTGGTATTTGTGAAAGCACTTCAAGGGGCTGATTAGAGTCCTTTTGTGATTGGATGAAAAAGATGTTCATGAAAACTGAAAGAGGACGAAGAATATGGGATGAGGAATCAGAGAACAACTTTTTTGTGGGTGGGACTACTTTGGGGAGGGAGGGGGGGCTAATGACAGGGCTGATGATTCTTATGAAGAGGTGACCACCAATACCCTTGTAAGAAAATGTAACTTGTCAGCGTTCATTTTTTCAAAGTGCTAACCACTCGTAAATAGTGGCATGAGAATATGGACACGCATCATCATCATTCTGATCATTGCATTTGTTGAAAATGATTTGTTACATGTTCACGCTTCTTTCAGAAATTCCTTGTATTTTAATATTTTTTACATTTCACACACACACATGAACCATTTCCTCTCCATGCATTCATTGCTCAGCTGTTTAAACAAGTGTTATCTTACTCTGCCTTGACACATCATTAGAAGCACATCGATTCGGTTGTAACTTCTAGTTTAGGAGCTCACAGTTTAATGTTTTTTTGTCTGATTTTTTTATGTGATCACCATTTACACAAGGCCGATGTCATCTCCTTTTCCTGTGACAGAACGTAGCCTCACAGTCGTCCTTTCCGCTCTCTTTGTTTCATGCTTTTGTTACATTTTACCGCCGGTTTCCACCAAAGACTAACCAGAACCAATGAAGATGAAGGTCTGCAAAACACAGAGCCGAGACAGCTCATTCATAGGTCCATTACATTTCACTCACTGCTCGTTTTCACACTCTGATCTCCTTTAAATGTTTTATGTGCTATTTAAAGATGTTTTTCATTTATAAACAGATTTAAGGACCAATTCTTTCAGCATGTATTACAAACCTTAATCTTCCTATCAACACTGTGTACTCTCTGGTCCAGTCCATGTGCAAGAACAAAGTTTCCCAAAAAGTGTGTATGTTATTGCTGCGGTGTGACGCTGCCCTCTAGTGTCCAGTCATCTCACTCTAATGATCTCTGCTGCAGATTAGAGGTGCATTTCACCTGATCTCTTCACTGCTCTCTTTCAATTGATCTTTATATTAGAAGATGTCCACATTGATGTCACATTTTTTTTTAGTGCGTAACAAGATGTATAAATGTGTTTTATATAGCCGCCACGCCTCGTGGTATATTATGAGTGCCTTGCGAGAATTAATTCAGGAACTAATGTTTGACATTCTTGAATGTTCTGCTCTGACTGCATTTTCAAAGCACATTCGAGATCAATTTGCATATGCATCTATCCAAACACATTCTGGTAAGTGTAGCGGGACATTGAAGTGGCTGATGGGGAGTTTCACCTGCATAGATCAGCAGTCAATTAAAGAGAAAGAAAAACATTTGGGTGGAAAAAAAATAAAATTGACCGTTACCAAAGACCACGACATTGCCACAGTATCTTACAAAGTTTAGTTCCTATCTCAAAGACATCACAGTTTTATTTGTTCTTTTGTTATGTATATAATGTGAATCACTGCCTGTGCAGATCATCATGCATTATGATTTATTTACAATGAGAGCCTCTCGCCTTCTGCTGCCTGCACCTCTTCTTCTTTTAGAAACAGCTTCTCGGGCCCAATTATTTTGATGTGTGCACAGATTTTATGCGCAGTATGTGATATCGACACACTTACAGTGATGAAATATTGCAGGTTTTTTTTTTGGCACGTTTAAGAAAATAACTTTCTTATCGTGGTTTAATGCTCAGCCATTCAGAGAGGAGGAGCTATGTCTGTCAGAGCAGCAACAACATGCAGCCGTGCTGAGGCCCCCAAACAGCGAAGCACAAAATGTAGTTCACACTTCAATGTTTCCTTGCTTTGGTTTTGTTTCCTGTTTAATGTTTCATTGCTTAACCACTAATGATTTAATTAATAAAAGCTATTTGGTTCACAGTTTCTGTCTTTTTATTTATTTGATCCTGAAACATAAAAAAGGGACACAAGGACCCCTGTTGATTACACAACATTATATATGTTTAATGCCAAATTCAGTGGGGCTTTTTGTTTAATTTTTTTTTTCAATATATATTTAATTTGCCAAAAAAGTCTGCCTATTGCTCAGATTAAATTTACAGCTCATGTTACATTGATCTACATGCATGCTGTTGCTATTTGGCTTTAAAATGTTGCTGTAATGAGGCAGAGGAAAAAAGAGCAAAAGAAAAAAGAGGAAGATATACTTTCTATGTGGGGAAATTCTATTTTACACTCTGGTATTGAGAAGTTCACGCAGGCTGAAATCTACACATGCACAAATAAATCCCATGGACATGCATTCATGGAAAGATGTCAGCGTGAAGGAGCTGCCCTCAGTAAGCGCTAGGCAGTGCTCAGGAAATTAACTGGCACCTCTCCAGCTACCAGACCAATTTCAAGACCTGGTTTGCACCAGGACTTGAACCGGTGACCCTCCGGTTCCAACCTTACAGACTGAGCTACAGCCTCCCCACAAGTCAATTTGCTCCAAAAAATACTTTGATTCATTGTCATTGAGTTTCTTGTTTTGTTTTTTGAAAACCATTTAATTTTAATCTATATCGATCTTATTTTATCTATTTATGCGATGTAAAATACTTTTTAATTCACCTGGCTTCAAAACAAATTTCGCCAAGGGGACAATAAAGTTGGAGTTGAAGTTTTCTTTTTTTTAAACTTCCACTTTGTTGTCCTTAATCCATAAATGTAGACAGACCTAAAAGAGACATCCAACATCCACCAAGTCAAAAATGAAATGAAGATGTACTTCATTAGAGGGACTGAAAAATAGAAAAGTTGCCAAGACTGTTGGGATTCATCTTCAATAAAACAACATTAAAGCTTATACTTTCCTTTTTATGATAACTTTATTTAATCAATATTTACTTGTAACACATCTTTAAGATTCAACACTGGATGGGATCCAGCAAACCAACACTTATGTAGCCTATATATTATTATTCAATGTTAAAATCAGATATTGTTATCAAGGAATTTCATGTTTCTGTCTTAAAATGACTCCAAAACAATAAAATCTTGTTGTTAAGTATATATCCTATTTATTGATCTGCTCATAGCTAATCATGCACTTATTTCCATGCATTAGGAGCAAAAACAGGTGAAGTGTTGTTTCTAAATGTATAGGCTACATGTTTTTAAACTGTTGCTTCCAGCATTGTGATTCATCATCAGAGGTGGGGCTGTTAGCGGAAATACGAGAGCTAGCAAGCTAGCGGAAGTTATCATGAATAAGACCGGAAATGCCCAGTGTCTTTTACAAAATTGAAAAAACGCTATGATGACTGTTGTTACAATTCCACTTTTATTGAGCGAAAAATGAAAATATGTCCCTTAAGCAAATTAATTGATGTATTATGTATTATTTACGGTCAGCCAACAACGCGATATTAGTCTTCGTTTGTTTACAAACAACAGTGATTATAATGTATTGTTTTATTTTGAAATTCATAACCGGTAGCTGTGTTTTGTAGTTCATTAGTAACTTGATGCTGAACAACAACAGCTGCTTTACCAAAAACCAGAAGGCGTTAAAGTTGTTTGCGATGTGACATGTAGGATTACTAACCTGTGTAAGGTGTAAAAGTTGTGTGTGTGTGTTTGCGTGCCGTCCTCCGCTCGTTCATGGGGTTTCTGTATGATTCACTGCAGTCTTTTTAAAGGTAAGTCATCGTAAACGAGCTGTTTACTACTTGTGGCTGACAAAAGTGAAGTTTTGGTCGATCTGTGCTAGCCTGCTTTAACCTTAACCTTCGCTAGCTAGCTGATGTTGCACCGTCTCATCACAGTCAAACATGTAATAATTCATAACCTTCACAGTCCACATGTGTAGCGTTGCATCTGTTCGTCGCCGCTCACACTTCGCCATTTGCAAGTTTGCTGCTTAAAAAAAAAAACCCTCTGTGTCCCATGGAGCATATGTCAATGTAAAGCAAGCGAAGCTATTTCTCCAAGTTGTCGAAAGAGAAAGCTGCAGATTGAACGTGTTCCGCTTTTCTCGTTTAGCCTGAAAACGACCTGCACACAAACGACTGTGTAACAAATACAACACTACTGTTACATGTCTCTCTTTTCTTACTGAGTGACTACATTGCATACTTTGTCTAAATGAAAGTCATGTGTCATTGTGTCATTTGCTTGCACACTTTCTTATCACTGAACTAACGCAAACTTGTCTTTCTGTTGAGTCGAACATTTCTTTTTATTTTATTTTTTTCAAGTTTGCAGATTTTAAGCCCCACATGCACCAATTTGCAGTGATGCACAAAGTATACAGCTTCAATAATTGAGTTAAAGTTGAGATACTCCTGGTCAAATAGCCTATCACTCCCAATACAAGTGAAAGTTAAAGTACCCAAACTACTTTAACAAAAGACATCTCAAAATAATTTGTATTTTCACAGTGTGTGAGTGTAGTCAAGAGTCCACGCATTCTGCTATGTTGTGTTTTTTTGAGAAAATCATTATTTACATTTTTTAAATTCACATTCAGGTTTCCAGTTTTGCAGCTCCACGATAAAAGGAACCATAATAGTTAAAACCAAAAATACCTGATGAGCAGGGGAAAAAAACAGGCGGCCTTTTTCTCACACAGTGAGAAAACGATCTAATTTCAAACATGGGCTGAAGATATCATCCTTCTCTGCTTTAGCCATCATAACCGGCACCAGTAAATGAACTGCCTGATCTGAGTGATGTTTGCTCTATGTCTGTTCTATGTCTGTTCTATGTCTGCTCTATGTCTGCTCTCTGTCTGTTCTATTGCTGTTCTATGCATGTTCTATGTCTGTTCTATGTCTGTTCTATGCCTGTTCTGTCTGTTCTGTCTGTTCTATGCCTGTTCTATCTGTTCTATGCCTGTTCTGTCTGTTCTATGTCTGTTTTATGTCTGTTCTGTCTGTTCTATGTCCTTTCTATGCCTGTTCTATGCATGTTCTATGCCTGTTCTATGTCCTTTCTATGTCTGTTCTATGTCTGTTCTATGTCTGTTCTATGCCTGTTCTATGCCTGTTCTATGCCTGTTCTATGTCTGTTCTATGTCTGTTCTATGCCTGTTCTATGCCTGTTCTATGCCTGTTCTATGTCTGTTCTATGTCCTTTCTATGCCTGTTCTATGTCTCTTCTATGTATGTTCTATGTATGTATACCTGCTCTACGTTTGCTCTATACCTGACATTTTGAGAAAAGCCCAGCTTTAACCCCCTCACTCTCTGCAATGACCGACCTATTTGTAAACTGTCCTTCCTTTCTAATTGGAGAGAGTTCTTTGCACTTGCCGTAACTGAATGCCTGTTTGAGTTAAACAGACATTCTTGAGAGCCATCCTTCTGAATTCGGAGACTTGCACAGTATTCTGATGGCCATAATTTAAGTAGGAAGTGACGTACTCCTGACAGCTAATGAAAGGGGAAGCTCCATTTTAGTGCAATAAGTGTCGATTTTAAGGTTTAGCCTCTGTAGATCACTCTTATCAAGAACCTTGTGTCGGTCTCAAAGGGTTTGCACTTACCTTATTATGCACCTATTCTTCAAATAGAACTTTTTTTTGTTGTTGAAACTCCCTGCTTCCTATATCAAGGGCTAATTTAAAGTCCATTACTGTTTTTGATTGTCCAGTTTTATGTCCATTTACAATCACAGACGTCTGCTGCTGAGATCAGCTGCTGGACCTCTGAACATTTTTCGGAACATACTATTGCTGAAACAGAAATTATTGTGGTTGCCATTGCCGCATCCAACTCTTCAAACCAAGCATGGCTGATGTAAACACAGATTGCTCCTCTCGTTTCGTGTTCCGTCCGCCCAGAGCACGGAACAATATCTTGATCGAGGTTCCTGTGATGGAGCGAGGTCTCTCTCATTTTGGCCCAGCCATCTCTGATTTCCTGTTGCTGCTTGTTCAGTCCAAGTCCCATTTCATTCATTTCATTTTCCTGTGACTGAACATCAGCTGGGGGAGGACTAGTGGAACAGCCAGCTCAAAGTTGTTGGTTTAGCTAGTTTCAGCTCTTTCTGTAGCACAGCCACCACTAATTGTATTTTCTGTTAAGAATGCTTGAAAGGTCAGCGAGGCCACTTCAGGGCAACACAGTATTTAACAGCACAGTAGCTTTCAGTAGCTGTGCGGTGTTTGACGTTACATCTAGTGTTTCTATGGCAACGATAAACTGTTGTGTCGGTCATGGCCGCTCTCTAAACATTCTAAAAAGATTCTACATTTTGTACATTTAACTCTGGCTTTTCATGTCTACGAAACTGGTTCACATCTTACGAGGGTAGATCACCATGGTAACTTACGCTGAACACCTCACCAGGTTTTTTTGAAGGTTGGGACTGGGCGATGACATTCATAACGCTCGACTGACTGGTGTAATGAACCTGCTTCATCATGTTCGCTGCTTGTCTGTGTATTCTTTTATGATCATTTTGTTGATACTTTGAAAACGTCCAATTACATGTAGCATTAATTTAAAGACTGTTGCCATCTTTCTGCTGCCACAGGAGCACCATGGCAATGTGGATCCAGGCCCAGCAGCTGCAGGGTGAGGCGCTGCACCAGATGCAGGCGTTGTACGGCCAGCACTTCCCCATCGAGGTGCGACACTACCTGAGCCAGTGGATTGAGAGCCAGCTCTGGTATGCAATAGAACCTCGCTCTTCATTAGAACTCTGAAGTCTCAATGTCGGTGTCTACCAGGCAGCCCAAGCATGAAAACAATGTCAAACTGAGGAAGGAAATGCTTAAATGGCCTTTCTTACAATAGCTAAATCATAAAATAGCCAACAAGTTTCAACCATACAGGTCTTCATCAGGGCTTGCAAACATTTGTGGTTTGGCCTCACCTATAATAACTACAGCCAATCGTTGGCAGTCAAAGGAATAAGAGACAGGTGAAATTGTTTGATCATGTGGTGTCAGACACATTTGAAAAACCAGTTTCCACGTTGTAAAAATGCTCATGAACACCTGCTCAAGTCCGAACAACTTGAATCAACTCGGGAAAGAAGTAGGTTCCCGACTTGCCGAGGTGAAGTCATATGCGTCATGACATGTGGGGCAAAATATGTTTTGTTAATGTTAAGATACTTTTGATAAACTCGCGTATTGCACATCAACTTTTTACTCAAACATGACTTGTAACAGAGACATTCACACGTCTTCTTCTTCCACACTGTTTGTTGTTGTTGTTGTTTTAACATTCAAACTTTCCAAACTAAAACTACGTGAACACACTGAAGTCGGAAGAACGACTTCCCAACTCGGAAACAGGGACCATCTGAGGAGCACCTGAATGCAGCAAAAGTCTACAACAAGGCTTACCAATCGACTATTGTGGTTTGGCCACACCTCTGTCAACTACAGCCAAAAGCAGTCAAACCAGAGGAATTTGAAGTTTAAGCAAGTTGAAAACTAATCAGCACCAAATGAACGTGGACATTAATACACATGTCAACAATACAATAAATACTTAAAAAACACAAAGATACAATTGCCTTTATAGGTCTGTGAGAAAGAGGAAATCAGCAACAGAAGGCCTGACAAAATCCAAATCGTCATTCAAACCAGGATATCCATAAAGCATCCGTTTGATGGATTTAAAAAGCTTCTTTTTGATTCTGTTTCCAGATTCTATCACTCTGTCAGTTACCTTATATCTTCTGAACTCTGGATCTACACTTAACCTATAACCATGTCATCCTGTATTTTGTAGTTGCGACTATTATCTCTATCGCAGTCCACCTCTGTGGCTGTGAGGCCACGTGGGAGGAGGGCATCGAAATTCTAACCATGTTTATGCTGTGCAGCACCATTATGTCGAGTGCCAGCCTTACAAGAGCCAAGAACAGGGTTTCCAACAGGGTTTAGCAAGCCTTGTTGAGCAATAACTGAGACACTCTAGGGGTAAACAAGAACATGACCCCCCTTCCCCCCTCCAGTAGAGAATTTAGTACACTATAAAGATGAATGATGCACCAGTCTGGAGCACATTGGGATACAAACTATGATATAAAGTCTTCTACGAAAAGGTTGAAGACTTCCATCTTTCTTCTCTTTCTTTGGTTAATGTGACTGATTCTCATTGGTCGTTGTTGACATATAGGTGTGGCCACACCACAAATGTTTGTTTGTCAGCCCTGATGAAGACCTCTGTGGTCGATACATGCTGCCTTTTTAGATGATTGAGCCATTATAGCAAAGAATTTTCTTTGGAGTGCCTGGTTTCCCTCCCTTTTTGTGAACAAACTTTTTTTTAATGGATCCAACAGCTGAAGAGAGACAAATTGGCGGGAGGAGAGAGTGGGGGGATGACAGTCTAGCAAAGGTCCAAGTCTGAGGGTTAAAACTGCCAAAACATGAGCTGCGTTTCTTGTGCATCCTTGTCATACTGCTGATGAAAACAGTCAACAAACATATATTGGGAGAGGGAAACAGATGCAAGTGGGGCAATCCACTGATCATGAGTGGACCTCATGAATGGACTGATTCCACTCCGTCGTTTGGTTGGATTGGTGTCAGCAGCACTATTGAGAGATATTTCAATATATACGTTCATAATGAGGGATTAGATTTGCAGGGCCAACACACACAGCCGAGGATTTTCATGGGAAACCCTTTTATAAGAAATCCTACCTTAATGAGTCAATTAAAAAAAACTCAATCAACAGCTAGACGTTTGAGCGAAAGTGAGTTTTACATTTTCTTTGCATTGGTTGATAATCTAGATTTGTGTTAATGCCATTTACAGGGATTCAGTGGAGTTGGACAACCCGGCAGAGGAGGCCAAAGCCAAGCGTCTGCTGGACAACCTGGTGACCGAGCTGCAGAAGAAAGCCACGCTTCAGGGGGGAGAGGACGGCTTCCTGCTCAAGATCAAACTGGGTCACTATGCTAACCAGCTCAAGGTACCAGCCAACTAATACTTACCTTTCCTTTGATATAAAGGTGTTTCTCTCTTACACTCACTCGTGTATTCTGTCCAATGGTTGACTACTGATGACTTTATATTGTATTGTGTTACAATTGAATAACACAAATGCGTAACAGATCTCCATTGTAATGTTTAAAGGAGATCTATTATACTCACTTTCACCAATAATCATGTCAGTATGGGACACCTATTGAGTTGCCTTGTGAGATGTGTAGCTCAAAAAACCTCCTTATTTATCTGATAATAGCGACAGCAACTTCCCTCATTTCAGCCTCTGCCTGAAACGGTTCATTTTTAGTTGCTGTCTCTTTAAGGCCCCCCTCCCCACGTGCTCAGTTTGCAGTCGCGGGGAAATTTCAAGCGGCAACATCTGGTGTTGAAAAATGAAGCCAATGCGGAAGTGCAAAATCCTGCAGTTCTTTGAGGGTCCGCTTGAGGCTGGCTTCATGAGCCCCGGAAGTCACATACACACCACAGCCAAAAAAGCCTGTTGTTTCAGTAGAAACAACATGTTTACAGCCTGCTTCAAAAAACAAATTTTTTTTAATAATGCATCCGTTTTGATGAACGATACGTGTTATCCATAGTTAGGCTGTGAAAACATCCAATGACCTGTGTGTTGATGTAAAAGCATATTACAGTAGGTCATTATAGCAGGAGCTTTTCTGCTTCCTGAGGTCAGGGGCAGACTGTCCTAAAGTTTCTAGAAATTTGAGTGCATGTGTGCAAAACAGCTTTAAAAAAAGTCAATATGAGCAGAGCCATTGCAGTTAGTTGAACAGAAAGAGCTCTGACATTGGCATAATTGTTAATATGGTACTGGATTTAACTTTTTCCCTTTATGAATGATTGGGTGGTGTCCCTGTGAGTGCATACTCTAATCTAACCTACTTTTGGGGAAGTATTCCTGACCGAAGACTAGTCAATAAAAAGCTGATTTTTTTTGTGTCAGTGGTTAATGTGAGAGTTATGCAAGAGGTAAAGGGTATGTCTACAGGAAATGACTGTAATTCTGCTTAATGTGCCAAAAAGTGACCTCTTTAATTTTTGTCTGTGTGAAATCTCTGCAGAGCACCTATGATCGATGTCCTTTGGAGCTGGTGAGATGCATAAAGCACATCCTGCACTCGGAGCAGAGGCTGGTTCAGGAAGCTACGAATGTAAGTTATAAAGGAGTGTTTCTCTGTCTCAAAGCAAAACAATTCAAGTTGAATAAAATGAAACGTCCGGCACACAGCAGGGCGCCATGTTCACTGTCATGTAGCAGAACACAGGACGAGATAACATGCTGTTGAAGCACTGCATTATAGGATAGTAAATTAACGATATCAGTGGACATTCAATTAATCTATCCATCCATTATCTTTACCGCTTTTCCCGTTCTGGGTCGTGGAGGCGCTGAAACTGATCCCAGCTGTCATTGGGCGAGAGGCGGGGTTGCACCCTGGTCAATCACAGAGCTGACGTATAGAGACAGAGAATAGAAAGAGAATGGCGTTTATATACAGTGACTGCATAAAGTGTCTGCACGTGACCACTACGATCTCCGTGCACGTAATTAAACGGCTGCATTATGTTTTCCGTTCGTCAGTATGTTGTTCTCCGCTCTTCTGTGGATGTTGTCATTCCATTGGATTACACATAGCATTGATATAAAGGCAAATATTCTCATTATAACATCGTGCAGCGGACTCTGTTTCTTCGGCCGCTACTTCCGCGTTGTTTATTTACGTCACGTCTTACCTCGGGAAATCCCCCGAGCCCCCTCCCCTCTGACAAGGAAAGTCCCGCTGTGAGGAGCATATGTGAACGGCTAGGTCGGGAGAATCTCTGGAGAAGTCCTCCTGTAAATATCTAGATATTATCCGGAGTGCATATGTGAAAACGGCTTAACCCCATCCAAAAACGCCAGTTTTTACAGCAAAAGTAAACATGTTTACAGCCTGGTTCAAAAACCAAATACGTCTGATTCGCTCATGCCTCGATCAGGTGGTTAACTTGTTGATTATTCATCTTTTTTTCTTTTTTTAAGGATAAGTGTTATTCACAATAAGGTTTGTCAAGAGGCTTATAAAACCCAACTCAGCTCCAGCTCTCATCCTGACGTTGGATTGACTTAAAGTTAGCATTTCAGCAAGGAATTATGTAGTAATAGTTGGGTGATGTCACTCAGGCTTCGTCTATTCATATTTACAATGGGTTTGTTTTTGTCCCCCCCGGTAGTTTGATGTGTTTGATTCAAATGAAGCCGAGAGGAAACGGTGTGATTCATCATGTCAAAGAAGTTTTGCATAGGGTTCTTTAGAAAACAGTTTCTGATGGTGAGGACATTAGATCCCTGCAGAGTTCAATCACTTCAATTTCTCAGTTTTATTGTTGTCTGTCTTATTTAGTTTAGATGTGTGTGTGCATACTCGTTTAATTTGAATACAGGATTGAAATCTACATCAAAGGAAGAGCTAAGTAACAAAGCTGGTAGTAATTATCTCACAACAATACATAATGTGTCACTGTTATACATAGAAAGAAAAAAAAACAAAGAAGCATAAAAGCAACATCTGGATCCTTTTGCATGTTTTGTGTGCAGGCCAGCTGTGGGAGTGGTGGGCAGGCCATGGACAGCCTGTCACAGCGCCACCAGCAGATCAACCAGACCTTTGAGGAGCTCCGTCTGGCCACACAGGAAACTGAGAATGAAATGAGGAAACTGCAGCACAGCCAGGAGTACTTCATCATCCAGTACCAGGAGAGCCTGCGCATCCAGGGTGAGGACGAACACACACACACACACACACACACACGCAGTTCTTTGCTAGTACCCTGATGCATACAAAGATTTTTTTCTCAGCCACATGACACTATTTGCTAGTCCATTTTGTGCCTCCTACTGACACAGAGTTCAACCAATCATAGGGAGGGATTCACATTGAAGTGGGAGGGACGACTGGGGGGGAAAAAAACAAAAAAAACTGAAGAGTTACTCCTTGAAATGAAGTTGATCTCAGTAATATGGAACTGGTTTGGGTTTGCCCAAACTGACAAGGCACATACACCTTTATTTGTGAAGTTTGCACAGTAAATGTTGGCATATCGGATGGCAACATTAAAAACCTTTTGAACCACCTTAAGAGACAGAATCCTCTACAGTATACAGAAAGTTAAACGGCAAGGAGATCAGCCACACCTCAGTCAACAGAGGAAAATCATACACACTTATAATAATTAATATGCAGAATTCTGCCGCTTGTCTTCTCACACACTCTCGAAACCCGTTACCACCTCTGGCTCCCCACCCCCCAGCTTATCCACTTCAAACTGTTAATTATCACCTATAAAGCCCTCCATAACCTGGCTCCCCGTTGCCTGTCTCAGCCACCCGGCACACTCCCATCTGCACTTTTGGGGCGCACTCACATGAGGCCCATTTGCCCTGTACCATGCTCAAGCATAGTTACAAATATTCAGAGAACCTCTTCACTGTCAGACACTAGGCAGAGGTGGAGAGTGACAAAAGTCCTCCATTCACCAAAGTCCAGCCAAAGAGAGAAGAATCTTCTCAAATGGGACAAATAAACATCAACAAGATAGAATACTAAAAGAAATGGCATTTATTCATTCCTGAACTTTGCACAGCGTGTGACATCCAGGCTCAATGACACTTTCTGTGGCTCTAAACTTCTCATAAGATCTGTGTTATATTAACAGCTGCACTATTCTAAACTGTGATGAACTCCTCTTGGGTCACATCTCTCGTCCGCCTCCATGTGCTCTCTCCATGTTCAGGATATTGAAAAATAAAAAGCACTCTCTCACCTCATCAATACGTGCCGTGATTTGACCTTACATACCCCTCGATAATGCCTCAGCTACATTTGCATTTGAATGGGATGAAATGAGAAATATTGAGCAGTTAATCAGAAACAACAGGGACGCTCCCAAATCGTCCGTCACTCAACATCATTCTGGCCGAGAGGGGTGTACCACGAAGCGAGCTCAACATACCGAGGCATCTCTTGGAGTGAGCTCCAGTAAAATCTGATAAGAGACATCAGGTACGACGAAGCTGTTCATGAACATGTTAGTTCAGGCTTTCTGCTTCAGGCTGTGTGCGTGCTCACATAAGAGGGGCCATTAAGTGCGCCATTTGGTTCTTCCTCCGCCACATAAATCAGCAATCACCGACTGTCTGCTTCTGTCAAACTGAAATAATGAGAGTTATTACTGTGAAACAGCTCACTGCTGCACGGAAGGAGAGGGACACTACAGAAAAGTTATTATTAATAGTTTGGTTTTCATTGTTAGATAAACCGTCTGAGCTATTTGTTTATTTCTATTACAAACACACACAGTACTACTCTTAAACTTGAACAACGATACATATGATTTAGGCAGTTGCTCAGTGGTCGTTATCGCTCAACTGGACGGTCGGGGTTCGATCCCCAGCTCCTGCAGTCACATGTCCAGGTTTCTTCGGGCAAGACACCTTACCTGAAGTTGCTCCCGCTGCTTCATCAGCCGCGTATACATGTGTATGAATGGGATTAGTTACTTCTGATGGTCACTTTACATAGAAGCCTCTGCCATCAGTGTGTGAATGTGTAGGTGTGACACGCGGTGTAAAAGCTCTTGGAGTTGTCAGAAGACTAGAAAAGAGCTATACAAGCTCAAGTGCATGTTCCATTAATACGGTCAGCTAGCCTCTCACTTTATGAAAAATACACAGAAGTAACGTAATTTATTAAATATGTGATAATACATAGAATTATCTGGGTATTCCTTGTAAAAGCAGCCACGTTAAACTGACAATCCCACCTGCTATTGGGCGGGAGGTAAGGGCAAACAGTCCAGGGAGCCCCTGTCCGACAGGGTTTATAGGAACCTCCTTGCTGTGAGGCAACAGCGGTAACCATGGTGATCTAGTCAGGTTCAAACAGAGCCAGCTTGGTGACACAGAAACTCTGACTTTAGGCTTTATCGCCCAGGTTTACCCTCTTATCCCGTTTTGTCAAGTGGTCAAGGAGATGCATTGGTAATTGTCAAGAATTGTTTTTGCAATGTGTAAATGTGCTATCCACTTGTTATCTGATTACCCAGGATGGATGTTGATGCCAGGTGTAAACAGGGCCTGAGTGTGTGTCTTGTTTACAGGGCGTGCTTCTCATGCATCCACAAAGCTGTAAAGCAATGTAAAAAGTCCCACACTTGGACACCAGTATCACACAGCTTCGGCGTAATGACGTCAGAGCTGAGTTTCAGCACTGCTTGCAGAAATCACATTCTAAAGAAGTCCTGTCTCTCTTTCTCTCTCTTTCTCTTTCTCTTTCTCTCTCTCTCTCCTGCGTCCTGTGCTAACAGCCCAGCTGAGCAGCCTTTCCTCTCTGCCTCCTGCTGAGCGCACCCAGCGGGAGACCACCCTGCAGAGCAAGAGGGCCACTGTGGAGGCCTGGCTCACCAGAGAGGCCAGCACACTACAGAAATACAGGCTTGTATGAAGACATGACACACACACACACACACACACACACACACACACACACACACACACACACACACACACACACACACACACACACACACACACACACACACATCACACAAGACGAGGCCAAAATCAAAAGCTTTTATCACTGCTAACTGTAGGTTTTATGATGATGACAAATGTAGAATAATGTATCATGATATGATCGTTTGCTATATCACCACGTGTTACTCAAGTCTCGCGTTTGAAAATGTTTCTGAGGGTTGGGCTGTTGGTGTGTTTGCAGGATCTGTCAGAACAACACCAGAAGACTCTGGCCTTGCTGAGGAAGCAGCAGACTCTGATCCTCGATGAGGAGCTCATCCAATGGAAGAGGAGGCAGCAGCTGGCTGGGAACGGGGGTCCTCATGAGGGGGCGCTGGATGTCCTCCAGTCCTGGTATTTATGATATTTGAATTATTTTAGCCTGCATGATACTTTTTTTTTTTTTTGCAAACTCGCTAATTTATGATTTTGTCTGTGATAGAACTTTATTCATCTGTAGATGTCCTCAACACAGTCTCACTTTGTCCTCTATCCACCCCCTCTCTCTCTCTCCACCAGGTGCGAGAAGCTGGCTGACCTGATTTGGCAGAACCGACAGCAGATCCGACGCTGTGAACATCTAACCCAGCAGCTTCCTCTGCCGGGCCCCATGGAAGAACTGCTGAGCAAACTCAACGCTGACATCACTGATATCATCTCCGCCTTGGTCACTAGGTAAGAAGCATGGTTTTTTCTGTACTTGTTCACATTTCTGTGCTGATTGTGAAACACTTATCGGAGACTCAGTGTGCAGTGTACTTGCACGTCTAAACCACAGAATAATACCAGTATCCCATTGCACAATAACTGAATAAAGTGAGGCTTCAGTTTCACTCTTCTCTGCATGCTCACTCTGCATGTGACATAACCTGGTCCAGCTTAGATTCAACCTCAACAGGCAGCAACACAAACAGACACAAGGCTTCATTTGAAATTCTTTTTTTTTTTTTTTAATTTGTATTTGTCAGGGTGCATTGACAATGAGAGGGATTAAATCCACTTTGCCTTTACTAGTTTTTGGATTTGAGTGCTTTTCGTGTAATGCTCACAGTCACTAAATCAGCTCAAACTTACACGCTTTACCAACATGGCTGCCAAAATAGTTGCTCTCTCCACACCAAACCGCACAGCATTGAACAGTTTAGCCATCACACGTGTTGCGACCACAATAGAACAGGACATAACAACACCCACTAAGTCAGCACCTCCCGCTTCTGCTATCTGGGCGAGGGTGCAGAAAAGCCTGATCCCTGAAGCCATTACTGGCCTTAACAGTAGGAATCAGGTTCAGGTTCGGGTGACTTTATTTGTACCCTTAGGTAGATTAGTTTGCAGCCAGCAAGATCGACATCCATCATGACACACCGATTACAAAACAGATGTAAAAAGGAACAACACATTAGCCGTGTGTTTTTTGTGTGTTTAATGTGTAGGGCCCGACTGATGTGAAATATTTGGTGCCGATACCTGATATCAATAATTTTGGGGAGAAAAAAAATCCAATACTGATTACTGGCCGATATCTTTCTTAGATCTATGTTGGATCTGCAGAGAGAGATAGATAGATATAGATTTACACATTTATTTATCCCTCAACTGCAGTTATCAAACACTTGGGGAAAAGATTTATAATGAAGACAAGATGGTCACTCAACAAGAAAATAACTATTTGCATGTTCGTGCATCACCGCATGAAGGAGGGTGATAGTGCTTGTTGTAATCCATACAGCACACATTCTGCTGGTTAAAGAGAACTGCAAGTTTAATACAATGACACTCAAATGAAATGTAGTAATATCACCGCATATCTGTGATCAAATTATCTGATACCGATAGTCACTGATATTATCAGTTCGCCGATAAATCGGTCGGGCTTTAGTATTGTGTGCATGTATACTGTTGTTTTTCTCTGTGCTGTCACTATTTGTTGATTTCTGTCAAATCTGTACAGTGCTGTGAAGAAGAATTTCCCATATGGGACAATAAAGTCGAATCTACATCATCAAACACCGAGCTTGTGGTTAACCATCAATTTCCACTCAGATCCTCTTGTGAGATAAAACTCAGATCCTCTTGAGATAAAATACTTGACCGGCCATCGTGTTGCCGTCTTCTCTTCTCTTTTCAGTACCTTCATCATTGAAAAGCAGCCGCCTCAAGTGTTAAAGACCCAGACCAAGTTCGCAGCCACAGTGCGCCTTCTGGTGGGCGGGAAGCTCAACGTCCACATGAACCCACCTCAGGTTAAGGCTGTGATCGTCAGCGAGCAGCAGGCCAAAGCTCTGCTGAAGAATGAGAGCACACACAGGTGAGGAATGCAGGCAGACTCATAATCAGCCATTTTTTTGCACTCGTCATTAGTAATCAGGAATTTGAGCCTCTGCTTTGATATTAAAATAACAATAAGTTCTGTAAAATCTGCTGTATCTATCAGACGCACTTTTGATTGTATCCTACATACTGGTGTTACCTACCAGTGTAAAACACTGAGTGCAGCCCTCACCATCACACACTGCACACGACATGAAGAAATTGAAGCAAAAATTAACTCCCATTCATTGTGTATTGCAAGCTGTGCTGAGACACATAGCAACGCTGGCAAGGCTAGCATCACAACTTTATACCATCTGTTCTCTGTCATTATGATGCATTTAATGCAAACGGTGGTATTCAGTTCAGTGAAGACAGTTTGTAGAGCGCTGGTTTAAATGAAAGACTAAAAGTCAACAAGTGGCCAGCAAGATATGAGGGAAGTGGTTCTCTACACAACTTTCACAATAGTCCACAATAGAGCTCAACTACTGTACTGTAGCCTGTAGGAGAGCAAACTACACAAAGGGCATGTTACTAAAAGCACCACAGCTGCACAGAAACTGCAGGTTATGGACTTTGCTGAACACAATAGAAATCGTCAGTTTCGTCGGCATATTCAAGTAGTTATTAATCATCATCGTATCTGTTTTTGTCCCTCATAGTGAAAGCAGTGGAGAGATCCTCAACAACAACTGTGTGATGGAGTATCACCAGGCCACAGGCACCCTCAGCGCTCACTTCAGAAACATGGTAAGATCTGAAGGATTTCTTTTTTATCTTTCAGGAGCTGAGAATGACACATTACTGATCATCAAGTGTTAACCACCACTATGGCCTGCTCTTGTTTGTGTGATAAGAGCTCAGCAGTTCAGTAAGCATAACAACATGACATCCTGTTTGAGCTCTCCCAGGCAGTATGGGCAGCAGAGAATTAGAGTATTTTCCTCTATTCCACTTACTGTCCTCAGCATGTACTGCCTTCTGCCAATTCACACAAGAGGAGGTGTTACTACTGTCCAAAGCAGCCACACTGACAGAACAGCTTGCAGATGTGTCCAGACTTTTTAAACCGGGGTGCCCACCTGGGGTACTGACTTAAGCAGGGATGGCATGACGTTTGTGGGCACACGCACGCAAATAAATTCAACTTTTATTTTACCTTTCTCCCCAGCCCACTCATGATATATTAATAAAACAATTTGGCAACATATAATCTTTTAGCTTGATTCTTTATGGACTGAAAAACAGAAATGTATGTCAAAAGTCATAATTGAGTATTTAGTACTTAGAAAATTGCATGCAAACTCTAACTTGTAAAAATAAATTTATTGGCAATTAAATCCATTGGAAGTTGGACTGTGTGCGCAAGGTTTTTCTTGGGAATTTTAATCAAAAGAGCAAAGTAATTATTAACAACTGAACTTATTAAGATAAGCCTGTTGAAAACAGACAAAATATTGGATTCTTATTTAAGTCCTGCCTCTGCTTAGACAAATAGCCAATGATAGATTTGGATTCTGGGGTGGCTGATCAGATTTCAAGGGGGCCCATGCCACCCCTCTGGACACACCCCTGGATGTGTCTTCAGGAGTTTTTTGTTTATGATTTATAAAGTGTACCCACGCATTGGCTGATATCAATTATCTACATATCATATTCGAGGCTCTACATTACGAAAGCGTGATGATTGTAGTAGACAGCTTGAGCCGCACCACAGTGACAAATCTCATGAAAAGAGGAAGGTATATGACAGCTTAGGAAACCCCCGCCTTCCCTTTTTTACAACCCTCTCTTACACCACCACACACATCCATCATTTCACAATCTGTATAGTCAGGTTTTTAAGACATATTTGAAATCATGAATGTATCCAGCAGCGGGGTGGTGATTTTGATTCTAGATTTGAAATACATTGAATTTTTATATCATCAAAATGAATAGGAGCCTTAGCAATTCTGTCAGTAAAGCCGTTTTCACATATGCATTCCTGAAAATATCTAGATAACTTCAGGAGGACTGCTCCGGATATTCTCCTGACCTGTCTGTTCACATTATGCTCCTCACAGCGGCAGACCATTTCTGTCAGACAGGAGGGGGGGTCGGGGCCCTATACGAATATTTGCCTTTATATCAATGCTATGTGTAGTTAAATGGAATCACACTATCAACAAAAGAGCGGAGAACAACGTACTGAAGAACGGAAAACATAATGCAGCGGTTTAATAACTTGCACTGAGGTCGTAGTGGTCGTGTGCAGACACTCTATGCACCATTCAGCAGTCTCAAAGTCACTCGCCCTCCTATTGGCTCGAGGTGAATTCTCTGGAGAATATCCCGCTGCGTTCTCACATCAGCTCACTCGGACTTGCTGCGGAAAAAATAGTAGGGGTCCGGCAGGAGAAACTCTGAGTGAAGTCTGAGTGAAAAATGTGTCTGTTTGCGTTCACACATGCAGCTCCTCCTGGAGTTTTTCAGGAGTTTTCTGCCAGTGTGAAATCACTATAATTGTTTTTTTTATATATATACATATGCATCCTATAAGGGTCAGTATGAAAATATTTGCTAATGCAACTTGTTTGTGATGATTAAATGCAGCTGTGAACTGATTACACAAAGCCTTCATCACAAATATGAAACAGATTCCTGAGTGGTTTTTTTTTCTAACAGCAGCCACAGTCATGGCAGCTACACACATACTGGTCACATGATTTGTCTACAGCATATTCCAACACTCAGCTGCACTGTACAGAAATAAAACATGGGCAGTGTGTCCTGTCTCTGCTCACATGTCGTGTCCTTAAGTCTTTGTTGTGTTTCTTTTTTTTTTCTGCAGTCACTGAAGCGGATCAAGCGTTCAGACCGCCGCGGTGCAGAGTCGGTGACGGAGGAGAAGTTCACAGTTCTGTTTGAGTCGCAGTTCAGCGTCGGGGGAAACGAGCTGGTCTTCCACGTCAAAGTAATCACATCAGATATTAAATCTGTGATTTTCACGCTTCTGGTAATGGTTTACTTGAATGACTTCTGTTCTTGTGCTGCTGTGTGTATCCTGCAGACTTTATCTCTACCTGTGGTGGTCATCGTTCACGGCAGTCAGGACAACAATGCTACAGCTACAGTCCTGTGGGACAACGCCTTCGCTGAGCCGGTGGGTTGACTTTGATGCACCAAGGGGACTTTTTTTTTTGTCTGTCTGCATTCACCACACCATGGTGCTGGAAGAGAACCTGCTCTGAAGCAAGAGCTAAAAATGTTCCTCTAAACGGGGTTCTACTAAACTAAAATAGATCATAGTTCCTGCGTTGCGGAATCACTAAAAAAGGGGGCGGGTTCCAGCAGTTCCTAGAACTATAAAAACAATTCTACCATCCAAAAAGACCTTTAGATGTAAATTTGGAAATAAATCAATTAGAAAGTAGTTGGCAAATCCCAAAGGCTTGGTTTTAATGAAGGCTTGATTGCCTGATGAAACACAGCTGCCTGTGGTTATAAGAGAGTTTGAGCTCTCTCCAAGCAGCTATTGTCCCACTGGATTGTGGGCGTGTTTAGAGAGGCATATCAGGCAGCTGGTCGTCCTGTGCACTTTTGGAGTGCGGTGCCATTCCACGAGGGGTGTTTCTCTCTCTCTAGTGGGTAGACAAATCCAATGTTTTATACCTCTAAAGGCCCTGACAGACAGGAGATCAACGGCCGCCGGTACTAGTTGGACCGTCGCTGAGCAGTTGTCGCCCTAGTTTTTGCGGTGTATCCGGCTCCGTTTCTTCCTGTCTGCTCTTTTTTGGCCGATTCGAATCGGCGAGGTTGGTGAAAGGATCTCTCTGATTGGCTGTTTGGAGGTTTCATTTATCTCCAGCCTCGACACAGGTTCAGGAAAGCCCCTTGAGCATGCCACTGTAGTATCCATGTTTTCACCCATTAGTGTGGTTTCTCCTTATGTGTCTCCTCCGCCTCTTCTTTTCTTTTTCCACTAAAAGACCAAGGGCTGACAACGCCAGCGCCATTTTCAACTTTTATCAGACATTATTCTCGATTAGTAGACTACCAATAATACAAGTGATGACCGACAGCGGTGTGAAAATGGTCTTCTCGTATCATAACAACGGACTAGCTGCCTGCTGACATGGAGAGTTATTTCCTCTCACACATGCGCAGAACGTACGTAGTGGTTGGCTGTCGGCTGTAGTCTTTGTGGTGTGTTCTAGTGCAACTCTTTGGCCAAGACAAGAGGCGACGCCACAGGAGTCCTTCGTCACCACTAGTTCTTTGCCGTCTGCTTGGTGTGTGTCAGGGCCTTAAAGCAGTGCAGTGCTGATTAATACCTGACGCAACATCCTCAGTGCAAGCCTTTTATTTCTGTTCAACACCACAATAAACTTCTGTGTTAGTTTGCATGAATCTTTGTTATACCTTTAAGACTTTATGTTTCAGCTCATTTCGTCATTACACCTAGTATGAAAACAATCCAAGAAAACTAATCTCTGCGTCCTGCTTATATTCAGGAGAGGATACCAGAACCAGACGGTCTTTGACAGGATTGAAATTGTTGTGGGATTATTGAAAGTGTTGCTAATTAATAATCCCTCAATCAACCATTGATTGATCAAATAATCTTTGCAGTGGTCATTAGAAAAGGAAAAATTGTTGTTTTTATGGGATTCGTTGAAAATGTGAAACGACAAAGATAACAACAGATGAGTGATTGCTGAATGTCTGCTGCCTGTGTTTTCATTGTTATACTGAACATATTTTTTTATGCTTATTACGGCTCAAAGGACTGTTTTTATGTTTTGATACGATCTTCAAATGTTGCATCTCACCATATCTGGCATTAATCAAACAATTAGAGGCCTAATAATGAATAGATGATCTGGTTTTGAAATGCATAGCGTTGCTTTTTATCTCATGTTTTCTACACGTCTCCTCTTCACAGGGCAGGGTGCCGTTCATCGTGCCAGACAAGGTGCTGTGGCCGCAGCTGTGCGAGGCCCTCGACATGAAGTACAAGGCCGAGATGCACAGCGGGCGTGGCCTGTCGGAGGATAACCTGGTGTTCCTGGCACAGAAGGCTTTCACAAGCAGCGGCAACAACCCTGAGGAATACCGCAACATGCCTATATCCTGGGCCCAGTTTAACCGGGTGAGGCCTGCTGTCTCACGCTCAGAAACACACACACACACACACACACACACACACACACACACACACACACACACACACACACACACAGATCAATAAATAAGAAAACTGCCTGTGTGCATGTGCACATACTGAACATATTAAACGTGTTGATATTTTACAGGAGAGCTTACCTGGACGCAACTTCACTTCTGGCAGTGGTTTGATGGCGTCGTGGAGCTCATGAAGAAACATCTCAAGCCTCATTGGAATGATGGGTAATGACTTGTTTTTCCACTGGAACTCCTTTAATTATGTCAATTTAGACAACAGCAAACACTTGATGCAGGAAGGTGAAGCTGCAGATATTGAAAATAAAAGTGAAGAGAAAATATTCAGTCGTCAGTGGCTGGTTCAGATGAGTTTCATTTCATGTGCGGTGGAGAAAGAAGGTCACAGGGAAGTGTAAAAAGCTCTCTGACTTTTGTAAACTCTCGTCAAGATCTTAGGGGAAACTCTGCAACCTTGATGAGCACCTAACAGATAAGACAGAAAAGGAAACACGGTCTGATTCACATCTTCCGCTCTGAAAATAAAGGGTCTAGATAACTCAAACATAAAGTAGAAGAATTGTTTCTAGGGCGCTGTGGGTTTCTTTGTGACAACATGAAGTCCTGTGTTTTTTTTCAGCTTTGAAGAGTGGGTTCATGTATTGCATATAACAAAAAAGCACAAGTTAAAAACTCCTGATGTTAGCATGATATTAAAGAGCAGTGTTGTAGTACTCAAGTCTAGGACTCAAACCTGAGTTCTTATTTTAAGGACCGGAGACTTGACTGTGACTCGAGCACCGATGACTCGGACTTAAGGGCCTTTCCGATAGGACGCGGTGGGCGATTCATGCCGCTGTCAAACCCATTCGTTGTCGTTGTGTTGAGCGTATCTGCGCAAGGTTTCGCTTGCCGTTAAAAAAAATGGGCGAAACGCTCTGTGACGTCACCCCCTGCACGTCCAATAGGAGGGGAGATCCGATCAAAACAAAAGATGAGATCTGGTTTACAGACCTACCTATCTGAGAGAAATCTCTAGATTGAAAAGAAACGTCCGACAGTTTGGGCGTACCAGGTGTGTTTAAAACAGCAGCAGAAATGTGTGTCGTGCTTGTGAAGCGTTCGTTACAGAGCTGCAGCTCCTGGGCGAGCCTAAAGTCCTGTCGAGCCCGGAGGATTTTATGAACACCCCCTTCTCCTCCTGTGCTGCTGTCTCCTCCTCCTCAGCAGAAGAAAGGTCAAGGCTTTCTACTGAATAGTGGACGGATACAAACATACTGTGCATCCAAAAAGTAGTTATTTTCCTGACTATTGTTTCGGTCACCTAGCAACATGCTCCATTGCTACTGCAACTGCTTCACTTAATTGTAATGAAATGATAATTTGGCTTTAAGTTTGAACAATATCACAACCTCTAATACGGAGGACTCACAGAAAGATAAAGCTCAGCTAAGAAGCATTTTCCATCATCAAATCAACTAAACTGAAGCCCATCTTAGATTTGTTAGACTGCACTATGGAGTTTTGGTAGAGAAATGTAAAAGTTGGAGAAGTGTACAGTTTCTGTGGTATGTTCATAACTCTACACAAACTGTCCTCAGAGGAACATTTGTTCCCTGGAGCACTGTTTGAAGATAAAATGCTACGTGAGAAGTTATAAGGGGGGGGTCCTCAACAGCGAGACTGAAACTTTCCGCTCCAAACAGTGTTCCAATGACCCTTTTTTCCTTTGAGTAAAGTTTGTGTATTTAGTTCAGAAAATATAGCATAGAACTGTTTCACTTCAAATTTCACCACCAAAACTCCACAGTGCACCTTTAAGGACTTGGACTCAACTTGGATTTACTCTGATTCATCTTTGGTGACTCGATTCAGAATTTGAGCAGTCGGGACTCAAGACTCAACTCAAGTTTTGGTGACTCAGCCATGGCACTGTGACAAAGAAGATGCACTGACTGACGATGGTGTTTGTGTGCAGGGCCATCTTGGGTTTCGTTAACAAGCAGCAGGCACAGGACATGCTGCTGTCCAAACCCAACGGCACCTTCCTGCTGCGGTTCAGCGACTCAGAAATCGGAGGCATCACCATCGCCTGGGTGGCTGAGAACCCCAACAAACCAGGTATCAAACTGCAGACAGTGCTCTTAAGGAGAGCGATTCTGAAAGCTGAATCAGTTCAGCTCTTTGTTTTATAAGTGTGATTCTCTGAACGAGTGTATCAGTACGGTGATTGTAACTGTTGGTTCTTCCTGTCTCTTGGAAAGGTGAGAGGCTGGTCTGGAATCTGTTGCCTTATACAACCAAGGACTTCTCCATTCGCTCCCTGGCAGACCGCATCAGCGACCTGAACCACCTTCTGTTTCTGTACCCCGACCGGCCCAAGGACGAGGTCTTCGCCAAGTACTACACCCCTCCACTCTGTACGTGTTTGTATTCAAGGCTTTACTGCCTCGTCTAAAAATCAGATGTTTCTCCTCAGAGATGGTTTCTTAACTCTGTATTTACACTACTCTGTGAAGTCATTGCAGGCGTCTGAATCCATTGCAAAGGTAAGACTATCATTAAAATAACTCTGAGGTGTATTCTTTTAATGCGCTCGTCTTTCTTGCAGCTAAAGCAGTGGATGGATACGTAAAACCACAGATCAAACAAGTTGTGCCAGAGTAAGTTGTTCTTTTGTGTTTTTTTTAAGCTGCTAAAGAAAACTTAAATCATTTCAGATGCACAGAGCTGGAAAAAAAAGAAGGCGCTAAAGTTAAATTTGTTCAGAAAACCAGAAAAAGGGCAGTGAAACTAAAAAAAAAAAGGGAAATCATTCACTCATGTAGTAGGCAGATGTCTTATTCTGCACTGTCTAGTATATAATTCAACCTTTAGTCATTTTTAAATATCTGGGTCTGTCACACTGTTTGATTATTTTGATGTAATAACAGGACTCTGGGATGAATTCACTATAATGACACAGCAGCAGCCACACTGATGATTCAAGGCTCACATGCTGTCATCATGTCACTGTGTTCAATCGTACATTTAAAGAGAAACTTACAAATCATTAACAACTCAATGACAATGGATGGTGAATTTGGCCATACAACACCTCAGTTACAGCCATACACTGTATAAAATATGGACGTAGTCGCAGTGACATCACCCATTAGTTTCTAAAAGCAGCGTTTTGAAGCCTTATGATGGTGGGCGCCATATTGGAAATGATATCTCACACTAACTTTCTATCAATCTAGAAATGGGCGAAGAGGTGGAGCTGAGGCAGGCATTAAGCTTCCTGGCTAACTGCAACAACGTGTCCATGTTTCAGTCAAATCAGCCACACCATAATTAAATACATTTATGAATAACTCTTAGGCTTGATCAAATCAGAGCAGATAAGTAGTGGACACTCAAGGAACAGCAATGTTTTCCTTTTTCTTCCACATTGTCTTCTCCACATCAAAACAGCATTTTAGCTCCCATACAGTGCTATGTCATATCAGAACGGTTACAGTGTCAATAAGGTCAATTCTTGTGTTCGCCCACCTGCCCGATATTAGGTCAGACACGCACATAACTAAGAATAACTCGTATCCTGCTTAAAATCAAAACAGATTAAATCTTTTTTTGAATCACCCCCATTACAGTGTGTGCGATGAAGACAAAAACTAATCAGTCCTATTTTGTTTTTTGAACCAGGCTGTAAACATGTTAATTTCTGCTGTAAAAAAACTGTCTTTTTTTGAATGGTGTGTATGTGACTTTGGGTGCTTCTGCAGCCAGCCTCAAGTGGACACTTGAAGAACTGCAGTTTTTTGGCACTTCCGCATCTGCTTCAGTTTTCAACACTGGAAGTGTGGCCGCTTGAGCGCACTACATTAGAAGAAGAAATATCTAGAATATAATCCAGATGGTAGAGGTGTCAATACAATAAAGTAATCAGAGTTGTAGAAGTGCATATACAGTGACCAGAGATGTTCTTGGTAAATACCATGTACCATGATAAACGGCCAGTGTCCAGTTTCACCAGTAAGAGTTAACTGGTAAGCTCACCTGGCATTCAATGAAGGAATTGATTGTTTTTAACATCACCAGCCATATAGACATGAGTATTCTCCATATACAAGTTATTATCAGATGTGTCCAGTCGGTAGAGCTGTAGCAGACATCATATTAACTGCTGAAGTAAAGTGAGGCTCGTGTCTCTTTGTAGATTCACAATCCAGAACCCTGAACCCAGTGGAGGAACGCCTGCATTCATGGACCAGACAGCGTCTCCCTCTGTCAGCCACCCCAACAACTTTAGTGTCTTTCCTATGTAAGTACTCTCCTTTATTTCATTTATTAACGAATCAATATGTAAGATATATACTAAATGAAATCACAAAATGACATTACTATATCATCAGACATTAAGGAGACATGCTTTGTTGAAGTGTTGGCTTCTCTGACAACGCAGCAGCCAGTATGTCGTCCGTTTAGATTCCGTTCCGGATGATCTGTTTTTGTTTTAACCAGATAAGTAGGTGATTCTAAGGCATCCCCACACGGCCATTTTGGACGCCCCTCAGGTTTCCAGGCAAACGGCAAACAAACAGGTGTTGCAGGGATGAAGCAGGCAAGCAAACTGGTTTAGACTTAACTGATTCTACTCGACCTAAAAAGCCTCAGCATTTTTCTAATAAGCTCCACGAGCAGAAATGTGGTTAGAACACAGAAAGGTTTCAAGACGGATGCAGAGCTGGCTAAACACTGAAGCTTCCGCGGCATGGAAACCTGCGTGCACATCGACTCTAGGAAGGAGGGGGCGGGGGGAGACAGCTCTCTACAATGTTAAGAATTTTGACTGCAGTACCCATTTTAAACACTAGGTGTCAGTTACATATTGCCCCTTTAACTTTAAGGTGGACTATGTAACACTATGTAACAATCTTCAGGAAGACATTTGTCACGGGGGAAGATAGACTTTAATAAAACACGATCATCTGTGCAGTAGAAAGGTGAAACACTTTTTGAAACTGATGCTACATAGCCAGCAAAACTCCAGGAAAAGGGCTTCGTCATTCCCTTCTGCCCAAAGGGCTAAAACACTTCAACACTCAGAATGCCCTAGGCTTGTTGCAAGCCAAGGCCACTCCGATGACATTCTCTACAGGATATACCAGCACTCGAGGCTGGCTCTTCTTCCTCTCTCTCCTCACTGACTGGTGTTGCTTCACCCTCTGCTGCAGCGGTCTCTTGCTTCTCTACACGCCGTATTTCCTCCGCTCTGTATTCCTGCTCAGGAAAATCCTCTGGGTGTATTGAATTCTGTAGACACAGCCCTACCATGTTATTCCTCTTGCATTTCTGTATGTACAATGACACGGCAAAAAGATTTGACTTAAGTCCTTAGTTGTAAATTCAGGGTCCTATCAACTTTTTGAAATTTTTGAATATTAAGGGGGAGCCTAAGTTGTTTTGTGCATGTCCGAGATGTTATGAATGTTGTGTGTTCTCATGATCTTTCTAACCTTCCCGCTCTGTTGTTGTCCCCCTCAGACCTGACACGATGCTGGACGCAGACGGAGACTTTGACCTGGACGACACCATGGACGTGGCACGCCACGTCGAGGAGCTGCTCCGCCGGCCGATGGCCAACCAGTGGAGCAGTCAGCAGTCCTGAACCCGAAAAAAATAAAAACCTGCTGCAAACCTTCAGGTCCGGACACAAACACACACCTGAAATCCCTACTGGACTGTCCCCACAGCAAGATGTCCCGTCATTTATCTGCGACCTTAGCATGATGCACTTCAGGAGTCTCTATTCCGCCTCAGTTTTAGCTTCCTACAGGAGCTCTGGGAGATACAGGTCTGGTTTTTTAATAGCCCTCTTCTTGCCTATGTATGTGTCCCGGAAGTGATTTTGATGTTATGTTTTATGTAAACCCTTATTCAAACGTGCCTAAAGAGCATTCAGCTGGAACTGGGAGACTTTTGTATAAAAATGCACAGAAGACACACAAGCTTTGTTTTCAATGTTTTTAAAAAAAAAAGATTTCCGTCCGCACAGTTACAACGTCAGTTATTGCAGCTGAATGTCAACAACCTGAATCCCCTTGTATTACAGTGAATATTTGTCATGTGATGTTATTAGTTTCTGCTACATCCTCAAATGAGATCATGTATGTTTTACTGAACATTAGCCACTGTGAAGACAAACAGTATTTGAGTCAGCTGCTTTGAGGACATGGTTGTTATACAGACTGACTGAGAGAAAGTACAACGAGAGAGGCAACCATTAAACAACACTCTTGTCTTCCAGTCAGGCACATTGGTTTTATTATTGCTCTGTATTAAGAAAAAAAAAAAGCTTAGATTTGGCTACAGAACAGGATTAAATCTGCGTTGTTATAAATAAAACAAATGCTCTGTGTGTTCTGAGTTCAAACTTCACCTGTGATTCAGTTAAATCCGGCTGCTGTGTCCAATGAGGTGTCAACATTTTTAAAACATCCACCAACCGTTTTAAAACAACGCATTTTCTTTTTTCTAAACCATTGATAGTGTTGGGAAAATTGACAGATCATCACACATATTGGTGAAACTACTGGTGGTTATGTTATGAAACTTTAGGATTTTTGGAGTTTAGACAGGAGCAGGGGTTTTCTTCCACATTCTTTGGTTATTATAAAACAAGAAATTAACCTTAATTGATGCTTAGGACTTCTATTTTTGTTGCTGTGGTATCCAAACCGGTATCTGGTATTGTGACAGCCATAGTGCCCCGTTAAAGAATCCACCAGAGGTCAGCAGACCTGAATTTCAACTTTTCAACCTTCCAAGAGGAATCAGCAAAGACGAGGAAGAAGACTGCTGCAGGGATGTGAACAATGCAGGTTTCAAAAGGATTAATAAAATAAATGCAAGGGTCGCAATTCTGAGTTCGCACACATTGTGGTGGTGACAAAAAGTCAATGTAAATACACTGCAGGATACCTTTAAACATGCTGCACACCTGATTCATATGAGGTTTAAATTAAACAGGCCACATCTTTCTCTTTTAAATTATGAGGTTTGACTTTGACCTCAGATGGTGTAAAAACTGTGACAGAATATTAAAACGGAACAAAACAAACATGTTTAAAAAGCACTTCATAGACTTTTTTCACTGTTCATTTTCCAGGCACACATTCCCTACCCACTGAAACTGGTACCCTGACCCGCTTTGGGTCCTACGGTCTATGGTCCTGACCCACTAGTTGAGAACCGCTGCTCCATAGGACCAAAAGTAAACAAGATAGTAATTTTTAATGCCTGTAACCGCTGCCACCGGGGTCAGTGTCATACAAAGTGATTAAAGGAGCAATATGTAACTCTTGACACCTAGCGTTTGAAATTGGTACTGAAGTCCAAATTCAAAACATTGAAGTAAGCCGTCTCCCCCTCCTCCCAAGAGTGGATGTGTACGTTGGTTCCCATGTCGCAGACCTGAAGCTTCAGTGTTTAGCCAGCTTTGAATTGGTCTATTTTTCAAAAGCATATGCAGTGTTTGTCAGGCTTATTAGAAAAATGCAGAAGCTCTTTAGGTAATGTAGAATCAGTTCTCTTACACACTTCTATCGCTGCAACACCTGTTGGTTGGTCGTTTGCCTGGCAACTGGAGTGGCGTCCAATGGCCTTGTTGGGGGACCTTTCTTTAGAAAACACAACTTGCACATGATGTTCAGGACAAGATGAGCGAAGAGATAATAAATAGTGCTTTGTCCACAGGGGGCGTCGGTATTGATCCGACCTGAAAGTTCTTCACAGGAGCTTTAAGTACCATTTCATATTAAACATTCAGCAGGATAACGTTGAGTTTCCCTCATTCACCATCATTTTGACACAGCAGTCAGGTTTAAATCGGCACACAGCTGTGAGTTAAACCTCTGAGCCGGAGTCTAAATAAAAAGCTAAGCTGCTCACATGCTGAGCGGGGAGTTCAGAAAACAGTAAAGCTAAAGTCATCATGTAAGAAGAGCCAAAAGCTGCTGCTGCTGCTCCATCTCGACTCCAGCAGTCAAACCCTCGAGTGTTTTCAACTGAACCTAACTGAGTTTATTGCCTGGGATTTTAACTTTTTGTAAGAGAAAGATTTGTTCAATGTCTTTGTTCACATGTTACGTAGCCTGAAGTCATGCGATTGGGATTGTACATCTGTGTCTGTTTATTGAGAGTGCTTGAGTATCGTATTTGTTCCATATTGTAAACTGTATTGTTTACAGTCATTCCCTGTATTACACAGTCATACAGCAACATGTTCAGTCTTTGGTGCTATTATTTGGTCTCACACAGTCCATAACTGCTTATTGACTTTGTTAAGTTGAGTTTAAAATACAGATGTTAGTAACTTTTTAAGTGATGTTTGGTCATTATTTGAACCTTATAGCCTAACAGATAAAATCATTAAACACATCTGTGGGGTTTACCGGTCCACCAGATTAAGTTTAAGATTAAGAGTCTTAAATATGATCACAATTCAATTTGAATGGCCAAATCATTTCTATCAACACCGTCACGCTCCTGTGGCTACATGAACTAATCACAGATGTTGTTTCTCTTTGTATAGCGCCAATTTGTAACAAATGTTATCTCAAGAGACTTCACAAAAAGATGGTAAAACACCGTACTCTTTGCTATATTATTAAGAAACCCAACATTAATCCATCATGAGCAGTAAGCCACATTAAGCAAAGGTACTGAGGCAAGAAAATTTTCCTTGAAAGAGGGATGGGGACAAACCGGGGGGTGGCTGTTGAAGTATTCAAAGTATAAAAAAGTTCTAACATACGTTAATGTTGTGAATTATGGGCTCAAGTGACGCTGCATTTTTTTATATTCAGGGTCACAAAAGAGAAAGAAAAAAAAAAGAGAGCAACAGAGCCAACAAAATATGTTTCATATACGATTCAAGCACTATCTCAGTTTATTCATGAAACTGTGGTCTTATTTGGGATGCTCAACAGGCTGTGAAGATAAAATACTGAACAAAAAACCTTAAGTCCAACTTCTCAGACTCTTTGTTCAACAAAAATACAGTGAAACAAGTTTTGAATTTACTGTGATAGTCACTGCTTGATCTCAAAACAAGACCCTTAAGTAGGCTACATCTGCGTTCTCATCTAAATATAATGTATAGGTCTGTGAGCATTAACACGTTAATGCCGACGTCTTCAGGCACACATAAGCCCCCGAACAGACAGCAGAGTCTCCCTGTAGTCTGGGTGATGGAAGAAACGACACATCTGTATTCTTTGAATGTCTCATTTCTAATTTAAAAAAACTCAAAAGTGAAATCCAACAGGTTCCTTATTTTTATTCAAAATAAAAGCAGGTTTGTGTCAAAAACTTAAAACTAAAAAAATTAAGAAACAGGTCTTTTTGGGGTCTTTTTGCCTGAATTGGATAGGACAGCTGAAGACAGACAGGAAATGTTTGGAGGAGAGAGCAGGAGATGACCCCTGCAGCAAAGCACCACGTTTGAATTCGAACCCACGGCTGCTGGGACGAGGACTAATTCCCTCTGCACATGGGGCGCCCAACATAACCGTTTGTAATTGCTCTCGTAGATTACTTCAGCTGGCAGCCACTGAATGAAAAGTCTGTCCTCTGACAGGCTCAGATAGTTAGTCCAGTTGTCTTTGAACATAACAGAAAGGATCCAGAGAAAGTGCTCCCTTTATTACCACCAGTCATTTTACATCCTGAACCACCAATGTGAGAACCCATGCATGCATGGGGAGAACTCCACACATAGAAGCCCTGGCAGGGATTTGAACCAGGAACCTTCTCGCTGTGAGGATCCAAAATGAACATTGAAAAACACAAAGCCCCTTTTAATGTTCTAAATGACAAAAACCTTTGAAATTGTTCAGAAGATTACTTCAGCCATCAGCCATCAAATATGACTAAAAGTATGTACTTTAAAAGTGCTTGTTTTATGGTAAGAAGCTGAGGGAAAAAATTAAGATTCTACAAATGCCAACCAATGCTGGTGGTCTTGGCCTGCCCAAAAAACTTTTTTATAACTGGGCCTGCCATTCTCGGATAATTTGGGGTTGGCTTCGCTCATATCTTGACTCAACCTTCTGCATCGATTCCTGGGCCTGCTCGCCTTTATGTATGTGGGGCCTGATTAACTGCAAAAGGCAAAACGTTGCGAAAGAGGTCCAAGCTAACCTGATAGTTTACAATTCTGTGTGGCAGGGTAACGTTAGTTTCTCTGGGAGGAAGGATTTGGTCTCTATGCTGACACCTATCTGTGGGAATGCTGACTTCATCCCAGCTATTAGCAGCTCAATTTTGGAGTTTTGGAAGTCCAGAGGCATTAAGATTAGTGGAGATTATTTAAAGATGGTATTCTCATGTCTTTTCAGCAACTTCAACTTCAGTATGGCCTTCCCAAGGAGCATTTTTTGGGGTACTTGCAGATTCGTCACTTTATTAGGGAGCTGAGTCTCCCCTCCCTCAACACTCCTAAATTAAGTACCCCAGAATCCTTTCTTATTAACTGCAAGAATTCCACCCATTTTATTTCCTCCTTATACTACTTGTTACAAGACACTTGTCCAATAAGCTTGTTTAATGTCCAGCGTAAATGGGAAAGGGACCTAGATAATGAGTACATAGAAGACGACTGGCAAGAAGCTTTGAATTGTATCAAAAATGTGTTTTCTTGAAATAGACTGAGGGAAACTCAATATAAAATTCTTCATAGATTATACATAACACCTTCCATCTGGAATTAGATGGACCCCGGCCTGTCACCACAATGTCTGAAATGTCTCAGAGAGAGAGGGGACTATATTCATCTTTGGCAGTGTAAATACATATCACAGTTCTGGTCCTGTAAAGCAAAAGAGCTTAGTGGCATATTCAAAACTAAAGTAACCAAGGATCCCGGCCTCTTCCTACTTGGCCTGCCATCGAAGTTTGTGTCTCTCCCCTCTCTTCAATTTAAATTGCTGGATAAACTGTTACTTTTGGCAAGAAAATGTATACTGTTGAGGTGGATCAAGGACAAACCTCCCACTGTTACAATGTGTACTTCCACACGAGAGGATTAGTGCAGTGCTGAAGGGCAATGGACAGTTATTCTTGATCACTTGGCAACCACTCATGGACTACCTCCCTGCAGAGAGTCTTGATTTATTGTCAAAAGGATTCTCTTACCTGAATTGGAAGCCCTCTGGACTGAATACGAGCACTGGACATTCCCATTCAGGCTGAGATTTAAATTGAATGGACTCTGGCAGATTAATAAAACCTTGAAGTGAGCATGATGAGGAAATGTGGTTTTTTATGTCCTATTTTATTTGCCTTCTATGGTTTTAATTTGATTGTCTGTTTTGGTTTGTTTTTTTGTAGCGGTTGATTTTAGTCCTTTTGGTTGTGTCTTTTAACTGTTATATTGTTTGAAAAATTCAATAGAATTGTGCTTGTTTTAACCACTGACAGTCTCACAATAGTATTAGCATTGTAGCTATGAATCATTTTTGTTCATTGTTGTTGTTGCTCTGTTCCTCTTTCTAAGCCCATCACAGTCTCAGCAGACGTGTTTTCATCATGAGTCTGGTCCTGCTCGAGGTTTCTGCCTGACTAAAGACAGTTATTCCTGCCGCTGTAACTTTGCTAAATGTTGCTTAGTGCTGTGCTCATGGTGGAGTCATGTTGGGTCTTTGTAAATAATATAGCAAAGAGTAAGGTCTTTTACCTGCTCTTTTGTAAAGTGTCTTGCGATAATAATTGCGATGAATTAGGGCTGTGCAAAAAAAGATTGATTGATTATTCTAAGTGTCTTTCAACATTCCAGAAAGGATCCCTTCAGAGAAAGTGCTCCTTGCCTGTACAACCTCCAGACTGCATTAACAAAAACCAACAATTTAACTTTGTAGAACATCAGAATCGCTCATTTACCACTGCAGCTCTCTTCTTGATTATTATGTGTTTGTATGCCTTTAGTTAAGAGATTAGGACAGTGGATAGAGTCAGAAATCGGGGAGACAGAGAGAAGTAGCCGCAAGTCAGACTCCAGACTGGGCCGCCTGCCTGGAGCCTCTGTACATGGGAAGTGCATACTAACCACTAACCAATCTGAGATCAAGCCAGCGGTTGAGCTCAGACTTCTTTGTTTATGTGGTAAAATCACTGTTTTTTTTTTAAATAAAGTTTGATGGCTCTGAAAGGAGCCATCAAATCAAATCTTAGTAGGCATCCCCTCTGTAATATTGGGAGATACTTGGAATAAAAATCTGACCCTTTCAGGGAAAAAATGTTGTACTTTTTAGTGGATGTACTTTTAATTGGGTGCTCTTGCCCTGAATCTTTATTTGCAGCCAATGGACCCGATCTTGTAGCTTCTTGCTCTACTAGAGCAGTTAAAATAATGTTTTCTACTTATTAGTGATGAAGAGCCCATGGCATGTAAAAAAAAAAAAAGGAAAGGGGCGGTACTTTCCATACAAGAGAATTTAGTGCTGTTGTGATTCACACTGTGCTACCACCAGGCTCACCAATTAATGTCTAATCCCTTAGAAAACACAACTCACCCAGAATGAAAGTTAACACATTGAACCTCAAGAAAACTCAAAGTCACATTAAAGATTTACGAGTCAGAATCAACTTTTATTGTTTATTGCTAAATATCCTGATTGGCAGATGCATTTTCTTTGGTGAATGCAATGCGCTTCCGTAGAAAAGAGGTTCAGAGCAAAAGTGAATCAGTCTATTTTCTTCATTATTTACATTTAGACGTGAATAAATATATTTTTCAATAGTTTTAAAAACAAAACAAAAAAGACAATTAAAACATTGCTGTGCCAAGTTACTGGAAGACTTTTATTTTGTAAACAATGTGTTCAAGGCTGAATTAGAGACATGAAAGATTTAAAACAGGCGGTCGTCACTTGTTTGTCTATGTTGGTTCTCATTTATCCAGGTCGTCATGGTAAATCGAAGCTTAATCCAAAGGCAACTGGACTAAGTTGAAGATCTTGAGCATGTTTCACCTCTCCTCCGAAAGGCTTCTTCAGTACTAAACTAACTGGTGGACAGAGATAGAAATGTAAGCCTCTGCGGATCTCTAGCTCCGTCCACCAGTTGCCCTTGGACTAAGCTTCGATTCCACTTATTTGGTTTAGCTTTGCATCCTAGTTGCCAGTTAAATAAGCTAAAAACATGACAGCTTATTGAAGTCGCTTTGTTCCTCGTACACAGTGCCCGTGGTGGAGAACCTTAGGTTCTTCCAGTTGAGAAGGTTGCCGGGGGTGAAGCCGCTACCATCCATATAAAACCTAATTTCACACGGAGAGATGACTTTGTCCCACATGTGGACGTCTGAAATTTCCCCAACAAAGGACTGACTCTGGTCAAAGCCTCCACCATAAGTATCTTGATCTTGACCCAAAATGATGCTGGGAACCCCTGTGAGAGATACTTTGGCACCCATGATTGCCCGAGGACTGCGCTTTTCGTTGACCCACAGAGCTGTCAAGCCACTGGTGGAGTCCCACGTCCAGCAGACAGAGTTCCATTCATTGTGTCATCGGGCAGTCCACTTATTTTGAGTGTAGCCCCATTGACGTGCAGTCTGTACACACCCACAGACAGCTTGAAGAGCAGGAAGGCGTTAGATTGAGACGGGATGTCCAGTGAGAACAGCGACTGAGCTCGGGTAAGTGACGAGAAAAACCTCATGCACATGGTCAAAACGGTGAGGGGCTGCTCAACGTTGGCAATGAGCTGAACAGAAGAAGTTGCACTTTGAACTGGGAAAGTAAAAACCTTCCCTGAAAGATCTGCAAATGAGCAAGAGATGACACGTGTTTAGGACTGATGGTAGTGGGACAATTAAGGTTATCAACATTTCTGATACTTTTTATATAACTTTAATATAACAAGATACAATACAGAACTTTAAAAAAAAAAAAAAACAACTCAGATCTTCAGTCATATTTATATCCATGAGCCGCACTGATTGAAAGAGAGAGAGCACTGTCTGGATTGCAAAACTACTACCCTAACCCTTAACTTAGCGAATGTGATTGTGTAATTTAAATCGGTTGCAGGACATTGAATGCAGTTTTTGGTCCCAACTTGTAAGGCCTGTTTTTGTTGCCATGGCATCGAACACAGGTATCAATATTTGATTTTTACAGAAGTTTAAAATTCTGGTATCACAACAATGTCAAGCTGGTAATATTCAAAAAATTTTGAGAATTTAAAGAAAAATTCAGCTAATAAAAGAATTAAAAGCACACTTTACCCATACCGTAAATAATTTAAGGCAAAGGCTAAATTGTCTTTTAACGTGACACATTTTTGCTATAATTACGATATTTTATGGGGTTGCAGAAAAGATTAAAAACAGATTTCTAATGAATGTTATCCAACTGACAACCACTACAAACTCCAGACGAAAGATTACACTAAAGAGATGAAGAGCTTTGTTGACGTCTCCATCAAACACTCCATTTTAAGATCAACTAGGTCTGTCTGAATAACTGCAGTGTGTAATCGCTCACCTTTTTCTTCAGCATGACCAGCGCAGAGTGCAGCCAGTAAGATCAGTAACTGTTTCATGTTTTCTGGGCCGGGATGTCGGACAGTTTCTTCAAACCTGAACCTGGAATGATTGTCCCCTGATCGTCTTTTTTTTTATTTATGGAGATTTTAAGGGAGGTGGAGGACGTTCTGGCCCATTGCATCAATGTTTATTCTTCATGACTCAATTTGACTGTTGATTAAAGGTGTGTGTGTGTGTGTGTGTGTGTGTGTGTGTGTGTGTGTGTGTGTGTGTGTTTCTGTCCTGAAAGCTCACATCTATAAGAGCAAGATCCGGCCTCGTAGGCAAAATCCTGATTTAATGAAAAATGTAATTAAATAAATCAGACTGATTTAATCTTAAGTGGAGCAAGGTCATAATGAAGATATCATGTGAATGTTAATGTCATGAAACGTCTTGTTACATTTATAACATTCAGGATGTCTCTGGCTTTGATAACTGTTGGAAATATTTGAGGTGATGTAAGTAAGAAACAACACAAAAATATATAACAGGTTTAGTCAATTTTAAATGAATCTAGATATTTTAGTGTAAGAATTCTACAGATTACCTTTCAGTTTCATGTTAATCTATTTTTTTGGAGTGTCTTTGTTTGAATTCGTTGTTTGACCCCAAAAAATATAGCGGATGTTACGTCAGGATTTACAGACAAATGCAGCTCCTGCAGCATTGCTACAGTAACAGGATTAGCAAAGAGTTTAGGGAAAGGTGAGAGGAAACATATCAAAAACTAACAAAACAGTCATTGAACTTTCCACAGACAGGAGTGTCTGTTTGAAACCAGCACAAGAATCTGATATGTTGGACAGTGTCAACCTGAGGGACTTTTTATCGGTATGTTAAATGTGTGCATTGGTTAAAGGAAGGGGCGGGACGTCAAATATGTGGTTCCACTAGCCATATTCAATCTGCACATTATCTGGCTCCAAAATACATCACCAGCACAATATGTCAGCTCCCATTCAGGGGCATTTCTGCTTTACTTTATCCAACAGAAAAAGACTAAGAGCATTGTCCATAATAATAGAGAGTCTGTGGTCCGGTGTGCTATGAGCTGTTGTGTGTTTTTTGTGAATTACTCAACACTTTAATTCACTGTTGAGCAACTTTGGAACTTTTGACCATATCAGATTTGGGTGCTTTTGGCAATGAGTAGATAGCAGCCTCTACAGTAAACATGTTTTGTTTGTTGTACCTTGGTTGAATATTACTGTAAACAAGGTTTGTGTTATCTGTGAGTCACTGGAACATAACAAGGTCTGTAGGTTTACAAGCAAATCAGTGAATCATTTCCACAGTGGTGCACTGATGTTAAAGTGTTTTATTACAACAACCTTTCTCATGTCTGAACTCAAACTGCTTCTGTAACCTTACCAGCATGTGACAGAATAATCACATGACGTAAAGAATAGGTTTTATAGAAAGTGCATCGTCTGATTGGCTGTGACTTCTGCTCGAGACAGCCGCTCTCGGGCTCTGATTGGACCGCAGCCCTTGTGTGAACCCCCGCTTCCTGGTTGTCTGCAAATGGACAATTTAAGTTGTTTTTAAACCTGCGCTCCGGTGGGAAACTGGCCCCCCGTTTGACTCGGGATTGAAAATGTCACCCAGAAGTAGCCCGGTTCTGCTCGTCGTGCTGTGTCTAGTCGTGGCCGCCTACTGTAAGTTTCCTTCTCTGGACCACATAAAACCGAAAGCCAGCAACAAGGTTCAGGGGAGAGCAGTGGTGGAGCTGCTGAAGCGTCTTCTCGGGAACAGATCCACGGAGTTCATAGTGTTAGTCAACAGGAGCCTTTCCAATGACAGCCTGGATGTGTGTGAGCTTAGGTCCACTAGAAACAATAAGATATTCGCGACTGGCAGCTCGGGAGTGGCCGTGGCTTCTGGGATTTACAACTATTTGAAATATTTCTGCAACTGCCATGTTTCCTGGTCCGGGGACCAGCTGGACCTCCCCCGTCCCCTGCCGAGGCTCACCGGCGTTTTGCGTATCAACACCCAGCACAGGTCAGTGTCACACCGGGACTACACCGGGACAGTTACCCTCCATGCACAGAACCAGCAGCTGCTGCTTTTTAATTCGGCTTACACCAAGCTGAGTTTCTCTTAGTTAATAAACTATCATTAATGTTCACTGACGATATGCAAACTTACTTTTTTTAAATTCTTTTCAGTTAAGGATTCATTGTATAGGCCAGGGGTTGGCAACTGGTGGCCCGGGGGCCACATGCGGCCCCCATCAACCCTCAACGTGGCCCTCAGGTTCATTTTTTACACATCAGTTAATTGGAAACATGAAGAAAACATGACCAAATCTGCCATGAAGTCGTGAAAACCAGAAATATGTCCATAGTAATATTTGATCACTGGTATATGTTGAGTTAATTTGAGATATGATTGACTGCAATCGTTTAATTTGGCCCTCTGGCAGTGAGAATTAAATGAATGTGGCCCTTGCTGTCCCCAAAGTTGCCCATCCCTGGTATAGGCTATAGAAAAGAAAAAGTAACCTCTATGCAGCGGATAGATTATATCTGCGGAAGCCCTAAGAGGACATTCATAGGCCTACATACATTTTATTTTTCTCTGCTTTCCGTGATTAAAAGAAATAAAGTAAATTTGGGTTATTTTCTTGTGATCTCAACTTATTTGTCCTAATTTCTCAGGATAAAAACACCAGATTTGACATGATCATGACTTCCATCCATCCATTATCTATACTGCTTTTTCCCGTTTGGGGTCGCGGGGGGGGTCTAGAGCAAATGCCCATGAGTACACCCTGGTCAATCACAGGGCTGACACAAATACTGTAGACAGCCACACTCACATTCACTCCTACAGGCAATTTAGAGTCACCAATTAATCTAACGAGCATGTCTTTGGACTGTGGGAGGAAGCCGGAGTACCCGGAGAGAACCAACGCATGCAAAGGGAGAACACAGAGAGGCCCTGTCCCATGAGAATTCGAACCAGGAACCTCCTCGCTGTGAGGCTACAGCGCTAACCACTGCTCCACCGTGCAGCATGATTATGAGTTGATTTAACACATTTTCCAGAGATCTTGAGAAATTAACTCATTATCACGGGGAAACCATCGTTGTTATCCTAAGACAGGGGGGTCCAAAGTGCGGCCCAAGGGCCATTTGCCGCCCATGAGGGGATTTTTTGCAGCCCGTGACTTCAAATGAAGAATCAGAAGATTTTGGCCCGATGCCTTGATTAAGTTTGGCACATTATCTTATTTTTCTTTTTCATGTTAACAAGGGCTGAACAATATTCCTAAAATAGAGAATGTTCAGTTACATATGTTGTTGTTTTTTTAAATCTACAGCTTTTACTATTTTTCACATTTTTTTGTAAACTATGAAAAAAAACCGATGCAAAGTTTTTGCAAACAAGCGGACTGTTGTTTAAACATTTAATGACCTGAGCTAATGCAGAAAGCTTTTCCAAACAAATGAACCACGTTACAGGATTGATTCTGAGAAAAAAAACAAATAAAGTAGAACGAAGAAATCAAAATATTTGATTTCCTTTTATTAAAGGGTTTCTTTAGTGAGCCTTTTGATTCTGATCTACAAAGCCTTACTATTTTTTCAACTATATTTTAAAAAACAAAACCTGTGGCCCGCGAGCGATTCTAACACGACAATTTTGGCCCGCAAGAAAAAAAGTTTGGACACCACTGTCCTAAGAAGACACAATAAATAGGTTGAGATCTCAAGAATACACCCAGCGTTTACTTATTGTCATGGGGGAACGGAGTAAAATAAGATGTATGGATGTACGGTATGTCCGCTTAGGGCAGGCGTTCACAAACTAATCTGCTCGCAACCCCCAAAATAAGTGTGTGTGTAAAAAGATCAGCAGACACATACGTTGCTGCTGCCATGTGCAAACTTTTTTCAGATATTTTAACAACAATTTTACGACCATTTTAAAGTATTTTAAATCTTATTTTTTTTGGATGGCATCTCACGACCCCCCTATTGGTTGCTTGACCCCCACTTCAGGAACCACTGGCTCAGGGCTTCTGTAAATGAAACTATTAACTCAGTGATGCACATGATTTTTTTTTTTCCTTTGAGGAAGTGCTTCTGAAACTGAAGTAAAATATCTGGAAATTTTTTTTTTTTTAAATAAAAAGTTTTATTTTGAAAGAGGTTTATGAAATGTTTTGTAAAACACATGCTATTAATTAATAACAACCCACCAAAGTCAATGTTCATTTAAATTCTTTTAAAAATCCAAACAACAAATGAATGCATTTTATTTCAAACCAGTAAAAAAGCTTTCTCTAGTCAAAGGCAAAGAAGATCAGTGTGTCTGTTGTTTCTTTCTGACTTCTGTTGTATGACCTTTGGAATTTCTCTGTTGAATTACCTGACGGTGCACATTTCTGTACATCAGCAATGTATGTTGTTCAATGTTCTTTTCCCACCAAACCTGTTTCACACTGCTGTACACTGGATGTGTGCCAGCTCCTCTCAGCGGCAGCTTCAGAGCTTCACTACACAGTCTCTATTAGTCCTGTTAGAATTACTGAACGACCATGACAGCGTGTCATGGTCGTTGACGGGGAGATAGTTTGTATCAGCAGCAAGGAGCATTCTTTTTTTTAATGTTGCTCAGCGAATATACAAAGTACTTATATTTTGGGAGAGAGAGTACAAACAAACGTACAGAACATGAATCTATGGCATGTTGTGTTTGATTTTTATGATGGCAGTGTTTAGTGGGCATACCCCAGCTACCCCCCCCACCCCTCCACCCCCCTCCACCCCCCTCCACTGCAACACAACACAGCCAAACTCATGGGTGCATGATAAATGGAGCGTTGTCACACATTATTTTTCATTGTTTACTCTGAGCACTATGGACACTTGTAACACGGCCTGGCCCTTTAAAAGACCCTTCTTTTCAATTATCTGTTGTGCATTAGAGCCGCATCGGCTCACTTCAGTTATGTGATGTGCACAGTGGCTAGATTGAAAAAGCCACGGCAAGCATACAGTAGCACGGTTT